AAATTTCATGTCAGTAAACCATGCAAAACAATTAGTATTATTGTCATAATGTCTTGTTGTCTATGCATATGATGTGAAAAATCGTAAGGTCATATTCACCGCGAATACTTCTCGAAATGTGAACTGTTGGCTGTATCTTCCCAGACAGCAAACTGACATTGAATCAACGTGGAAACGACGTCTCTCATGACATTGAAACAACGTTGATTTTGCTCATGGAATTAACGTTGAACCAACGTCAGACGCGGCAGTCTTCAAAGCTAAATGAAATCGAAAATTGGTTTGCTTTCATAACGTTGAAACAACGCGTTGATTTCAAGTTGATTTTCCGTTAGTTTTGAAAGAATGACGCGTCTGACGTTGGTTCAACGTTAATTCGATGAGCAAAACAATGTCATATTTCCACGTTGATTCAATGTCAGTTTGCTATCTGGGTTAGAAAACGACGTTTATCTATAAAAAAAGTTTTTCAACGGTCCCGGCTCTCCCCTAACATCTGTGATAACTAATTTACTTTTAAACCTGACTTTTCTTGTGGTTATTTCAGTTTAATGAAAAACAAGCACGTCATTAAACGCAACAGTTATAGAAATCGAACTTTACCTCATCCATGACAACTAATTTTCCCTTCTGACTGATTAATACGGTCTATGATTTATCCACGGTGGAGTTGAAAACAACAGTTCCCATCATTCCGCGTTGCTCCACGGCGTCATCAAGCAAAGCCGTTGTTGTTGTTTTGAATGTAGCGCCCTCTAGTGGCATAAAATCTTAGGTATTGTATCTTTAAGCCTATCTAACAGTTGCTGACATGTTTCAGAACGCTGCAGTTTTAGCCAACAAGGTTCACAGTTAAATAATAAACATTTAGATTAAATATGACACTCTTATTGATGGAGTCAGGGGTGCTGCCAGAAATTTTGGGCCCTAAATCAGCCTGGGCCCTTAGACTCGTCCTAACCCTCCAGCCCTTTACACACTTAAACAACATGAAATCATTACTGAGAAGCTACAACATTTGATATATTCAATAAAAACAAATATCTGTTGTTGGTGCGATGCTTTTGCTGTGGCATGCTGTGTTTTAATGTTTTAACTACAGAGATAATCGCTTATCATGATAATAGCAGATTGACTTGACAAAATAGTTTCATGCAAATAATGCACAACAAGACGTATCTATTTTCATTAAAATATAAATCAATTAAAAACACTAATTGGAAAACATTGAGCATAACTTTCTGTATTTTACACTATTTGATTTATTTATTCAAAAACTAGGCAAGGATAGGCTACTAAATTATATTTTATCAATGTAACTAATGTGATGCACATCTGTATCTCACATTCATGATAATAATAATAATAATAAAAATGTTTTTTTTTTTACAGCGCCTTTCAAGAACCCAAGGTCACTTCACAAAAAAAAAATAGTAGACAAAGAAAAGGGCAGTCGGCTTATTAAGCTACTGAACAAGCAGAGAAGCAGATGGGTACAGGCAAACACTAAAAACAGTCAAAGAGGACAGTCATAAAAACAGTTTTTTGCAAATATACATTTTGGCAAAAGATGTAACATAAAAATAACGGTGAGAGATTATTTATCGAGCGTGGTAAAGATATGAGTTTTAGGTTTTGATTTGAAGATTTGTAGGTTGTTAATGGCATGAAGATCACGAACGAGACGTCTTTTAAAGAAAACTTCATCTGGAAAACATCTCGAGTATAAACATCAGCGAGAGATCCTCCGTTCTTGTCAAAAAAATTTTTTTAATTCAATTACATTTTCCTTTTATGACCGAGTTTACTGTATTGTGAAACAAAAATGTATGTATTATAATGCATTAATACGCATAATGTGTGTATTAGTGCATGCAGTGTGTGATGTACGGTCCGAGTCACATTTACCCTGTTTGGATTCAGTGAAATTCACCAAAAAAATAAAATAAAGAGTTCAGATGCAAAAGCCTCTAAATGCCATTTGAAATTTTCTTCTAAAATTATCATTTTTATCAAGCTTGTGTATTTAAGTTCAGTGATTTCACTTAAATGGCAATGATAATTACCTATTAATTGTTATTTAAGTGAAATTACTGAACTTAAATATACAAGTTTGATAAAAATCATCATTAAAGAAGAATGAAAGAAATTTCAAATGGCATTTAGAGGCTTTTGCATCTGAACTCTTCAAATATCAATGCGTTTCACACATTACAAAGAATAAATGGGTGCATTTATGATTAAAGGAGCATTTCACCCATTGCAACATTAATCTTTATTGAAAGTGGATCATATATGTAGTCGAAATGTAAAATAATTTTTTAATTTGGTGCCCTCTTGACCGAGAAAAGACAGAAAATAACCAAGGGGCGCCTTTGTCTTAAAAAACTACAGTTCCCAGAATGCCCCAACATTGCACAGCTCCGCAAGCCACACCCACTAACCCACCCACCGGAACAGCGCAAACAGAGACGCAAACGCACTCTTCCGTCTACAACGCTAACATTAGCTTTCACCAGAGTAAGAGTTTGAAATTCATTTCAAACAAAATGTCTAGTTAGTTGGCTGTGGCTAGCAGGACGATCGAGGGCGAGGGATGTAAGAGGACAGCGCGCTGCGCGAGGCCGGTGGCGTGAGTGATGATAATGAAAGACAGCTGTGAGGCGCGCGCCGGTGCGTCTCTCACGAAGGAGCGAATGCTTAAAATGGGGAGCGACGACGGCAGATCGAGAGAGAAACAGGCCTGATTTTATGTTTATTTGTTTCTGTTGTGTGTAACGCTGGCTTACTTTCGTTTTGTATTTGTTCATTTTACTATTAAAATGTTTAAATGTTCGCCGGTTCATGCCTCTTTCTTCCCACAACAACAAACCCTGTTCACGTTACATTTGTAAACACATTAACGTTAGTGAATTACTCCGCGTTTGTATTTATTTCTGTATGGTGAATTACTGCATGATACCTGGATGTTCTGAAGGCGAAACTATCACAACACAAACGTCCGTGTGCTCGTCTGATTCAGAGATTTCCTCCAGGAGAAATTGCCATCGTTGAAGTTCTCTGCAGCAGACGGACTCTGTGTCCGAAGGCCGTGACACGCAGCGAGAGTCCAGGCAACAGCAGGCCGCCGAGCTCGACCCAGTCCGGGCGTCTCCTGCTCCTCCATCAGCCTCAGCTGCTCTAAACTATACCGCAGCTCGTAAAGATAGCCACGAACATCGGATTCGAGCAGCAGACTTTCAAAACCCTCTTCTTCCATATCATGTTTAGTTTCTTCCATCATTATCATAACTTCATATCTCCACAGGGCTTGTTAGCTTAGCTTCCAAACAAGATGGCGGATATTGATTTCAGTCTCTGCAAGTGAAGTCCCACCCACTGATCTGTAATAGGCCTGTGGGTGAGTGGGTGCCACACCCTTGAATAATAATGAGCTAATCATTGTAGTCTGTTGACATGTCAATGAAATGTGACTTCCTGCTTATCGTGACGCAAAATGACGATTTTTACGTCACGATAAGCAGGAAATAAAACACTTAAATCCTTATTTCTCCCATCTCAGGGGAAAATAAGGGAATAAACCATGACCATTCAAAAATATATGACTGGGTTTCTAAAGATACAAAGCTTAATGCAAATGGGTGAAGTGACCCTTTAATAAACATGTTTTTCAGCAGTATTTTTTAAGACTGCCCCTTCCCGACACCCGTGGGACGTCACACATTTATAGCTATAATATCTTAATGTAAACCTGAAGTAGTTTCGACTAACTAAAGATCATTTGAAAGCTTTCAGTCTCTAGTATTCATATTTGGAGGATGATTTTCGAAAGAAATGACAGAACAATAGATAAATGGCGATAGATTCTTCATGTGTGATGTGGAGGCAAACTATAACACGATCTGACTCTTTCTGTATGTTCTTAAAAACATGGAAACACATGATCATGAGATGTGGAAATGGAGTGGGAAAGAGTGGGACTGCACACACACACCACCCTGAACACGGGCACAGGACTTCACATATTCAGCTTTGATTCTCTTGAAGAATTACAGAGTTGGACATGTTTTGCAAAATATACTGTATATAAAATATATAGTTAACATTTGCATAAACTTAGACTAACTTTTTAAAACTTTACTTCCACAATAATCGGTGGTGTTCCCTTTAAAAAGACACCAAACGTAAGACTGCACTCGGACCTCTCCAGCTTAAATGGTTAAATACCTTTTACATTTTTAAGTGTATATAAGACAAAGAGGACCTCCACAAGACAGTGGCACTTCAGGACTAGAGTTGGAGAGCCGGACACACAACCACGGCTTCAGTGTTCTGGGTCTGTACATCTGGACATCCTCACACACATGTTCATGACCCTAATCAGAAAAGCCACCATTTCAACAGGTTTAATTGAAGAAGAAATAAATCACTTTTACCATATGTGGCTGAATATTGTTCTGTATTGAGATAAGTGGGGGAAAGCTGCGTAAAGATTCATACACCGTAAAAATGAATATGCTTTATCTAATCAATAAAATTGTGGCAACAGATTACAAGCAATATTATTTATTGAATTGAGCAATAGTTAATCAACTTAACATTCTAGTTAATTCTAATTTGTACAATTTAATTAATAATATTGCTTGTAATATGTCGCCACAATTTAAGTGATTAGATAAAGCATATTATGTTTTTCAGTGTAGGGCAGTGAAAACTAAAATAACAGAAACGTTATTTTGGGTCTATCCACTTGCCTTAGAACATTAAAATATGCGGGTTACATTACAGTAATTAACAGTAAACACACATCAGTCTGATGAAACTTTGCACTGCATGTACATGACCTAAAATGAGAAAGACAATTAAAAACCATAAAAAAAGAAGAACTGATATTTCCAACAACTCAAAGGAGTCAAACTGACCGGAACGGATCATAAGGGTGAGCTGAACCCATTTCCTGTCCAGCAGTGTCATCTAGTGGTGACGAAGGCAAACACACGTGGGTTTAAACCAAGATTTATTGAAATCTACAAAAGGCTTCATTGACTTTTTTCACAACTTCAAATAGCGACAGTAAAAAGAAGTATCAGTGAGCACACACACACACACACTCAGCAGGGCGTCACCTGCGCGCGGAGCGGGCCTCCAGGATCTGCACCACCAGCCGGTTCTTCAGCGAGCGCAGCTTGCGGCTGTAGTGCTCCTGCAGGACGGCGTCCAGACGCAGACGCAGGCTCTGGAGACACGGCGGAGAGCGGCAGTCCTGCACGTTCAGCAGCGTCTGGAACAGCTCCTGCCACAGCTCAGCGTGAACCATCCTAAAACACACACACACACAGAGAGAGAGAGATACAGGCGTGAGAGCTGGCGAGTGTGTCTCCGGTCACACACTAGTGAGACCCTCATGACACACATCACCACACTGATCTCAAAATACCACATTACTGCACTGTGTGTGTGAACAGGACTCAGTGCTGTTCACAAAAACGTCATTTTTTGGAAGTCCAAGTCAGGTCTCAAGTCTTTGAGGGGCAAACTCAAGTCAAGTCTCAAGTCTTAAATTATTAGGCATTGTATAATTAAATATGTGCAAATTTTGCATATATTTAAAAAAATAGAAATCTGAGTAGACTATTAGATAAAGCCAGGTTTTAAATGTATTTTTTCATTGTGTTCACATACAGTAATAGATGGGGGGAAATAGATATTTATGTATATCTACTTTTGTTATCCTGTCATCAGATAGCCTTAAATAGATTTTCGCCATGTTTTTAGAAAAACAATGTTATATAAATCAAGCTAGGAATAATATATTTACAAATCCATCTGTAATAGTCTTCATAATAAAACTAGGTACAAGTTTGGTCTATTAGGTTTGGTATATCGGTGCTACTGAAGTGGAGATTTCAGACTTGGAGTTTGAGAGAAAAGTCATTTTGAGAAACCGCAAAACGGGATCTAAAGATTTCCATCAGGCCAATGAGATTGCTCATTTAGAGTTAAATCCCCCCTTTACTTTCACGATTGGTTGCTGATTAAAAGGAAATGACCATATTTGGATCCGCCAACATTGAACTGGAGAGAGAGAGCTCATCACACGCTCCCAAACGTATGCGCCAATAAAAGAAAATAGAAATACATTAAAATGAATTTAGATTTAAAAAGCAATAATTGCATGAAAACAGGTCGCTGACAAGTCTTTTGGGTCGAGTCACGAGTCAAGTCTGAAGTCAGCTGTTTGTGTGACTCAAGTGCGACTCGAGTCCAAGTCTCAAACTTGAGCCCCAATCTCTGGCTGGAAACCAAAGCCCAGGATAATAGACACTCCAGAAAAACAATATTCATGATTGTGGAGATGAAAACACTGGATTATTGTAGGTGAATGTGCTTGTGCTGTCACTGACTAGATATATTTAATATAATGTAGGACACTTTTACTGCTAATCAGACATATAATGTATAATAATGCAATGGGGTAATGTCCTGATAATGCCAGTTTAATGTAGTATTGACACAAAACTGATTTTTTTTCCTCACACAGTAATTTTTATTTTTTGTGTGAACTATACACAAGACTTGTAGTTCTGCATTTTTGTGACCCTCTCACCTTTTGAACACGCCGTTGGTCCTCCAGACGCCGCCGTCCTCCTTCACCTGCATGTAGGTCCCGAACAGCATACAGTAGACGGTGCCGGCGATGCCGAAGTAATCCGTCTGAGAGAGGGGCGAGACACAGGCGTGACTGACTGACTGATGAACCCGAGTCATGAAACACTACAGTCATCACTACATGACTAACACAGTTCAGGCAACAACTCAAAAACTGAATAAATACTGTATTAGCACTCAATTCAAGCTTAAACGTAAATATCAACGATATAATAGTAACGCAAACTTATCTTCTCTAATAGTGGAGTTCCCATCATGCACTGGGGCATGAATGAAGTTTTCCAGCTGTATTTACACAGTTTTATCACTGCTTCTGTTGTAAGGTTTGGTAAATTGCCGTTTGAAGTCAATTTTCTACTCAAAATGACACATTCATACTCATGCCAAGTACTGAGGCCTCTGTGTTCAGGTGCTCTGCCACTGCTAACATGTAGATGTGTGTATTATTAATGTAGATGTTTCTAAGTAGAATATATACTTTGAAAGTGGGGTTAAATTCAGTGTTGTATTATTTAATTAAATATTATAGATTTATTTTTTTCCTTGAAACAATACAGGTTAAATATCATTAATATTTACTTCAATTAAATGTTAACATAGGGACGTAGTGTGTGACGGCACCCGTAGTGTTTCTGAAGCCCAAAGTGGGCGGAGCCGGCCGTCGCCATCTTGGCCGCGTCACTCTCAGATAAGCGGAAATGTGCAGCGAGGCGGATTAGCTGAGGTGACGTGACGCTAACACACAGCAGACAAACGGCTAGCAGTGACATCAGCGGCAACGCCCTTAATTATGCACAACTTTAAGGCGCATTGTTATTTTAACAGACGAGTTATAAAAAAATTGAGTTGTCACAGTTGTCATGAACACTTTGTTCCAGGCTGTGAACATTTTTCTGCAGTAAAGTTGGCCATTTTAACACAAATAATAATTCATTACATTTATATAGTGCTTTTCTCAGCGCTTTACATAGAGTCAGTGTGCAGCTCCACCTGGATGAGGCCACGGCTGCACGATTAATCGCATTTTCCATGTAATCGCACTTAAAATGCGTCTAAAGTTGTTGATCCTGCCACACACACACACCCTCGTTTAAAGTCCACGGTGGAACAAGAAACTTATTTTCAAACATCAGATCACAGTGACGGGCGTCCAGTGAGATCAGGTGTGCTGCGGGTGCTGAAGGGTACCTGGTAGCTCCAGGGTCGGCCGCTCAGCATCTCCACACACTGGAATCCCGAGGTCATGCACTTGGCTGTGAACGCAGTGTCTTCTGGGAAAAGTGTCATGTCGATGCTCTGGCCCAGGTCGATGAGAGCCAGTCCGTGCTGGAGGTTATCCCGATCGAAGCAGTCGTTCTCCAGGAACCTGCACACACACACAGAGACGGGTCAGTCACTGAGCGGCTGGCACACACTGCGGCGTCAGCACACACACACACACACACACACCTCTCCCCCAGCAGGAAGTTGTCGGGCTTGATGTCGGCGTGTATGATGTGGGCCTGGTGCAGCTGCTGGACCATGTGGAGGATGCAGACGGTGAAGTAGAGCACCAGCGGCTGCGGCAGCACCTTCTCACTGCGACTCTTGTACAGGTTTATCGCGCTCTGCCGACAAAACATTATTCACAAACACAACTTAAAACACAACTATATAGCGTGCCATACCGTTTATAATGTGTATAACATTTAACAAAATATATTTTCGCCAGGTTATATATGAAGAGTTCAGATGCAAAAGCCTCTAAGTGCCATTTGAAATTTTCTTCTAAAATTATCATTTTTATCAAGCTTGTATATTCAAGTTCAGTAATTTCACTTAAATGACAATTAATAGGTAATCCTCATTGCAATTTAAGTGAAATTACTGAACTTAAATTTACAAGCTTGATAAAAATGATCATTCTAGAAGAAAATTTCAAATGGCATTTAGAGGCTTTTGCATCTGAACTCTTCATATGCTACTGAATATTAATCACTCAAACCCCTTTATCTAAAACCGCTCTGCTGAACCGTCGGTCTCACACATCTGTCATTTTTTTTGTTTTTTAGTTTGTAGTTCTATTCCATAGTGCAATGGGTTGTGGGCAATATTAGCCGTTAGAGTATCTTAAGAATACTCATTTCAACACTACAATTTGGGACACACTAACTCTACTTTCGAAGACCGTTTAGGACGGATCGTGTCCCTCTCTCTCTCACACACACACACGTTCCAGCATTCTGTGTTTCTGGACAGTGGGTCGTTTACTGGCCCGTCAGATGCGAGACGGAGCCCTGGGCTTCACGTCCGTGATTGGCTGAGAGCCTCACCAGCAGTGTGCCGCAGTTGTGCAGTTCTCCGATCAGCACGCTGCCGTTGCTGAAGAGGTGAGCCGAGTATATGGTGTTGAAGAGGTGGCGTACGCTGGGCTGCAGACGGGCGTTCAGCTGGCGGTCCATGTAAAACTCCCACGGGTTCGCTGGCTTCTGCACCTGAGGACCGCAGAGGAACAACACAAGCTCAGTTTCTCCCGAACGTGGTGTTCTGACAATTCATGCTACCCATCGAGATTTGCTACTTACCGGTTATGCGCATGTGCAGACTCAGATTTTTTTTTCTTTTTTTACAAAAGGTACATTTTCCTGTTATAATATATAATTTCCCTTTAAAAAATGCTTACTACCATATGAATATTTGTACGGTCAGCCAGCTGAAAAGGAATAACTGAAATTTTCAGTTACTATGAGGAAAGGTGTACTTTGACAAGTCAAAGATGAATATATATTTTTTTTCACACCGTTTTAAAAGTAAAAATAGTCGTCTACAGTATACAGTAGCTACTCATAACTTAGAATTGTATTATAATTGTATTTCATACGACTTTAATCGGCATTCTGTGATCAATTCGAGCTACGGTAGCATTTTTCGACAAGGCAGCAAAAATCGACAGAACAGTGGCACACCAGGGGAACGTGCATCACTACCTTTCCAATAAAGGGATAGTTCACCCAAAAATGACAATTAGCCCATAATTTACTCCATCCTAGACGAATACAATCAGTTACATTAAAAATGCCCTGGCTCTCCCCAGCTTTATAATGGGAGTTAATGGGTATATTTTTTTGGAAGTCCATCAAAGCGCATCCATCCATGATTAAAGTGACCCAGGATATTTTATAACTCAGATTGTGTTCGTCTGAAAGAAGAATGTCATACACCTAGGATGGGTTCAGAGAGAGCAAATCATAGGCTGATTGTCATGTTTAGGTGAACTATCCCTTTAACACACTCTCATTTGGAAAGCCGCTTAAAATACACAGGTTGATTCTGCTGAAAAGTGAAACTTTGTGAGTGATGTGTGACTCTCATGCAAACGCATCACTAGCATCTCTGTGTCAGATGTGTGTGTGTTGTGTCGTCACCTTGAGGAAGAGTTTGCGTGAGGTCATGAGGTTGGTGGCCTGGTAGACTGTGGCGAACGCTCCCTGTCCAAGAACAAAGTCCACTCGCAGCGACTCTCCAGCTGAGGGACACATGAAGACACGTCACATACGCTCAACACTTTTACAAGCTCTATGAACTTCCTGAAGCGGTAGTTCATCAGGGTTCGTACAGATACGGTAAAATACGGTACACTTTTTTTTCCTCAAGGACTACAATCAGAGATCTCATTTATCAAACAATATCTTTATTATCTTTTAAATTCTAAATAAGGCAAACAGATGTGAAAAAATTGTCGCATGCTTATGTTAGCTTAGGGTCTTCTGAATCCATAGACACCAAACACATAGTGTTCCATCTCCATTACATATGGTTTATGCGTGTCTGTGTGTGAATGAATGGCACAGACGCGCACTGTGCGCCGTTCATTCACTCTTGCTCCTACATACATTAGTAAACATTATTTTTACATGAACACATGCAAACCATATTGCTATAGCCGACTGAGATTTGTTCTAACTGCGATATAGAATAGTATCTGCAAAACCATACAGGGACCGGACAGCTCTTAGCAAAGGACCCCGGACCCCATATTCCCGGAGCACCCTCCATAGGCCGCCTCGGGGGACACAGTCGAATGCTCTCTCCAAATCCACAAAACACATGTGGACTGGTTGGGCAAACTCCCATGAACCCTCCAGCACCCTGTAGAGAGTAAAGAGTATTCCACGGCCTGGATGAAAACCGCAATGTTCCTCCTGAATCCGAGGTTCCACTATCGGCCGTATTCTCCTCTCCATTACCCTGGCATAGACTTTCCCAGGGAGGCTGAGAAGTGTGATCCCCCTATAGTTGGAACACACCCTCTTAAAAAGAGGAACCACCACCCCAGTCTGCCATCCCAGAGGCACTGTCCCCGCCCGTCACCCGATGCTGCAGAGGCGTGTCAACCAAGGCAGCCCCACAACATCCAGAGACTTGAGGTATTCAGGGCGGATCTCATTCACCCCGGTGCCTTGCCACCGAGGAGTTTCTTGACTACCTCGGTGACCTCAGCTAGGGTGATGGACGAGCCCTCAGCCTCTGCTTCCTCAATGGAAGACGTGACGGCGGGATTGAGGAGGTCCTCAAAGTATTCCTTCCACCGTCCGACGACATCCCCAGTTGAGGTCAACAGCCGCCCACCCCTACTGTAAACAGCATTGGTTGGGGACTGTTTACCTCTCCTGAGGTGCCGGACAGTTTGCGAGAATCTCTTCGAGGCCAGCTGATAGTCCTTCTCCACGGCCTCACCGAACTCCTCCCAGGCCCGAGTTTTTGCCTCCACGACCACCCGGGCCACAGTCCGCTTGGCCTGCCGGTACCTGTCAGCTGCCTCAGGAGTCCCACGAGCCAACCAGGCCCGATAGGACTCCTTCTTCAGCTTGACGACATCCTTTACTTCCGGTGTCCACCACCCGGTTCGGGGATTGCCGCCTCGACAGGCACCAGAGACCTTACGGCCACAGCTCCGAGCAGCCACTTTGACAATGGAGGTGGAGAACATGGTCCATTTAGACTCAATATCTCCAGCCTCCTTCGGGATCTGGTCGTAGCTCTGCCGGAGGTGAGAGTTGAAGATCAGGAGATTCGGCCAAACGTTCCCAGCAAACCCTTACAGTACGCTTGGGTCTGCCAAGTCTGTCAAGCCTCCTCCCCCGCCATCGGATCCAACTCACCACCAGGTGGTGATCAGTTGACAGCTCTGCCCCTCTCTTCACCCGAGTGTCCAAGACATACGGCCGCAGGTCAGATGAAATAACCACAAAGTCGATCATCGACCTACGACCTAGGGTGTCCTGGTGCTACGTGCACTGGTGGACACCCTTATGCTTGAACATGGTGTTCGTTATGGACAAACTGTAACTAGCAGAGAAGTCCAATAACTGAACACCACTCGGGTTCAGGTCGGGGGGGCCGTTCCTCCCAATCATGCCCCTCCAGGTGTCACTATCGTTGCCCACGTGAGCGTTGAAGTCCCCCAGCAGACTTTCCAGCACTCCTCCCAGAGACCCCAAGAAGGCCGGGTACTCTGCACTGCTGTTTGGCCCGTAGGCACACACGACAGTGAGAGACCTATCCCCGACCCGTAGGCGCAGGGAAACGACCCTCTTGTTCACCGGGGTAAACTCCAACACATGGCGGCTGAGCTGGGGGGCTATAAGCAAACCCACACCAGCCTGCCGCCTCTCACCATGGGCAACTCCAGAGTGGTGAAGAGTCCATCTTCTCTCAAGGAGTCTGGTTCCAGAGCCCAAGCCATGCGTAGAGATGATCCCAACTATCTCTAGTCGGAATCTCTCAACCTCACGCACAATCTCGGGCTCCTTCCCCGCAAGCGAGGTGACGTTCCACGTCCCTAAGGCTAGTTTCCGTGTCCAGAGATCGGGTCGCCGAGGCCCCTGCCTTCGACTGCCGCCCGATCCTCTCTGCACCGGCCCCTTACGGCTCCTCCTGCAGGTGGTGAGCCCACAGGAAGGCGGTCCCACATCGCTCCTTCAGGCTGAGCCCGGCCGGACCCCGTGGGGAGAGGCCCGGCCACCAGGCACTCGCATACGAGCCCCAACCCCGGGCCTGGCTCCAGGGTGGGGCCCCGGCTGCACCATACCGGGCGACGTCACGGTCCTTGAATTTATTTGTTCCATAAGGGGGTTTTGAACCGCTCTTAGTCTGACCCGTCGCCTAGGACCTGTTTGCCTTGGGAGACCCTACCAGGGTCATATAGCCCCAGACAACATAGCTCCTAGGGTCATTCGGGTACTCAAACCCCTCCACCACGTTAAGGTGGCAGTTCAAGTATTGTTTTTCCAAAGATGATTTGTCATTAACGGTAGTTTTTAATCACGCTGATGTAATTTCAAGTGTTTGTTTTTAAAATAAGTTTGTATTTTGTTAGTTATTTGATGCGGTGGTGGTGAGGTCAGGATTGACAGCTGTGATTGACAGGTTCTCTGAGCGAAGTAGTCACTGAAGGACCAACAGACTTTTTTTTCAGGATCTTCGGAGGACTGAGGAGATTGGAGCTTTAAATTTAATATATACATTTCTATAATTGTATAAAAACTCAGTGAAGCACAAAATAATGAGTAATGCATTTTTGTTCTGCTTTCATTATCTTTGCCATTTCATGTTTAGCAACATTGTGGTGGTCGCACCAGTGCAGATTTTGGTCAGCAGGAAAAATGCCCAAAAAATCCTCGTAAGCCTCGTACTGAACAGTTCAAAACGAATACATGCATCGTTACAGCTATGGTCAGATGGACAGGAAGGCGGGGAGCTGTAGATTACCTATCTGGACGGTCATCTTGGGGGTGATGGTGGGCAGCCGGCAGCTCCAGGCGGTGAGGCCGGGGAGTGAGGATAGAGGCGGCTGCAGGTTAGACAGCAGAGACACGATCAGCTCCTCATCCCAGGGGTCCCGCACCAGATGGACACAGCCTGCAGAAACACCACAAACCACTCTTTAAAAACCACTGTAAACACATATTACTCCTAACATTTAACCACCTCCATATCTAATCTATGCAAATATGCATCTCATCACCTTAGACTCAGCTAAAACATATCTTAACATGTATTTGGATAATGTGGCTATGTGTTCTTATGTGTGTAAATGTATTGTAAGGTACAATGTAAAGCAACCTTGAGCTATGGAAAGGAAAGGCGCTACATAAATGAAAGGAATACCTGGTTTGGATGTGTCCATGGGGCTCATGGGAGCACTGGTTTCCCTGCAACTCTGCGACGGGCTGGTCATGGGCTCCAGATCGGGCTCTGTGGTCCGCTGAGGCCCGTCAGCGCTGAACCTGTTTGGGCTCCTGGACTCCTCCTCAGGGGACTGTTTTGGACTCATTAATAGAGATTCATGCAACATCTGAAGTGCTTTCACTCCTGATTTCCGCTGCTGGAAGGATTTTTTGGGAAGCAGAACTCCCCGTTCCTCCAGCATGTCCAGATCCCGCTCCGCCGGCGGCTCTGGGCTCGTCGGCCACAGGAGGTCTGTTTCGGGGGCTTTCTCCGGGCTCTGGTAGACGGTCCAGGCAGGCCGAGCTGACACCGGAGCCGGACTCATCATGACATCGAGATCCGGTTCTACTGTGTTGGTCGAACCATCCACCTGAAACCAGCTCAGTCCCACAGCAGCTTTCGGGCTCATGGACTCGTCCTGTGGTGCACGCCTGGGAACATCACTGACCACTGGGTCTGGACGTTTGGACTGCTTCTCCGGGCTCTGGTAGATGCTCCAGCTCGCTCTGCTCATGGACTCATCCTGCGGTGCACGCCTGGGAACATCACTGACCATTGGGTCTGGACGTTTGGACTGCTTCTCCGGACTCTGGTAGATGCTCCAGCTCGCTTTGCTCATGGACTCGTCCTGCTCCTCCAGTGGTGCGTGCCAGGGAACATCACTGACCACTGGGTCTGGATGCATGGGCTGCTTCTCCGGGCTCTGGTAGATGCTCCAGCTCGCTCTGCTCATGGACTCGTCCTGCATCCTCATGGCTGAGTGGTCGGGGAAGGACAGGGCGGCCAGCGGGTGTCTGCTGCTACAGCTGCTCTGGGCCATAGAGAGCCCTGGAGTCTGAGCCAATGACACACCCTCACCCACGATTGTGCCCTGAGCCCTGCTGCTGTCCAGCTCCACTGGCTTCTCCTCTACTGGACTCTGCTCCATGATGGGGCTGCAGGGAAACCACACACACACCGGTTCACACAGCAATAAGAATCGAGAGACTAAAGACCTATTATTCGGACGGAAGTAACTTTACAAGGGTAGATGGAGTAATGTAATTTTACCACAGGTACGGTGTACATTTTAGGACATCCTCAGACATATGAAGACAAGGCATCATGCCTCGGACTAAAAGGCTTCAGTCATTAGACAAAAAGGCATCGCGCCTCAGACTGAAAAGCTTCAGGTCTCAGGAAAAACCATGTCCGGTCTCGTACAATTAGGTATCAGACATAAAGGCATCAGACAAAACCACCTTGGACGGAACATTGTTATATAGCTTGTATATTGGCAAACTATTGATAGTTTTCACGATCATGAAGTGAAAGCGTTCTTTCGAGCTATTAGACAGCTAGATTTAAAACTGATTTAAAATATTTTGTATTCCTCGGTAGCTCGATCCGGTTTGTCATCACGAGGTAGGCTATGCTATACATTTAGCTATGTGTGATTGCGTGAAATGCACGAATCGGTGGGCGGTGCTAAACCGGCCGTGTTGAAGTAGGAGTTGATCTTCTGCGGGGGTGGGGTTTTATCCTCTTTGTCGTCATAGTTTTCCACTTTTAAAACAGACGCGTTTGCTGAGGCTGGTGTCAATAAAAGCTTTTATTGGACTAACAAGGACGTTTTCAGTTCTGAAACTTACAGGATATTCTTATAATATGATGACCTCTTAGATGTCAAAAGCTCAAGGAAAATTTGATTTCTCAGTTCATCACCCCTTTAATTAACTTCAGATTGGATTGTGTTGGTAATAGACCATTTCACAAGATGTAAACAACACTGGTCCAGAAGCACTTCCTGTTTCAGTTTGTAACTGTTTTCTTTATTTCACATGTAAAGAAAACATCTTAAAGATGTTTGTTTAACTTTTTGATTCAGTTTTAAATGTTCTGTTGGTTGTATTTTATCCCAGCTTTTATGTAGTGTTAAAAAACTGAAACAGGAAGTGCTTCTGGACCAGTGTTGTTTACATCTTGTGAAATGGTCTATAGGCACTCAAAGGTGGGGTAGGTAGACATTTTCTAAACACCTTTTTCCTAAATTTGTTTAAACTGTCTATGTATACCAATACATAACTAAAATACAAGTACTCTGAAAAAGAAAGTATACAAACCGAGTGTCTGTAGTCCTATCAGTCCTGCAATAAACACGGCTCATTATTTCCAACCGGGACGAAATACTTACAATAGTACTCACATTTTAATTATGTATTGGTATAGAGAGTTTAACCTTCCTATTATCCTTGGGGTCAATTTCACCCCATTCAATGTTTAATGTCTGTAAATACATCATTTTATTATTTTTTTTTGCTGTCAAATCATGAGCCAATCTGGTGCTTTGCTGGGGAAGTTTGTGTAAGTCAAATCTGTGCAGATTTAGCACAAATACTCAACTCGTGAGATCATGATATATTAAATAAAGCATATTGCGCAGAATCTGATCATATCTGGCTTACCTGAACACACTCGTCACTACGCAACAAATAACGGCATGCTTGTTCACTTTGTTTTCATAAGTGAATGTATGAAATCCACATTTGTATAATTTAAGTTCACCTTTGATGAACATTTTTGAACTTTCACTCCAAAAGTTAACTACTTATATATAATTTAAGTTCCTCACATATTATATAAAGGAAAGAAATAAATCAGATTATTTATAGACCATTTCACAAGATGTAAACAACACTGGTCCAGAAGCACTTCCTGTTTCAGTTTAACACTACATAAAAGCTGGGATAAAATACAACCAACAGAACATTTAAAACTGAATCAAAAAGTTAAACAAACATCTTTAAGATGCTTTCTTTACATGTGAAATAAAGAAAACAGTTACAAACTGAAACAGGAAGTACTTCTGGACCAGTGTTGTTTACATCTTGTGAAATGGTCTATATTTATTACACACACATTTATTTTTTTACCCTTTTTTTTCATGAATTTTGGAAAATATTATCTAGATTTTTTTCCTCATCATCTACTGTAGATCACTTTGTTAATAAAATATATTCAAAATTTGGTTCCACTATTTTGATTGTTGATCTAAAGTAACTGGTCACCTACATCACAGTGTAGTATAGTAGACTGTAATAGGTTGTTAGTACAATAGGTTGACATGTAGTTGTAAAGTAACTTAGTAGTATAAAATAAAGTCAGTAGAATGCCTAAAGTGGACCATGAAATTAAACAAAATCTTACTGACCCAGAACAAAAAATGAGATCAAGTCCATACGTTTAAGCATTTAACAGTTCAGATGAACTAACTGAAACACACACACACACACACACACACAGGACGGTACCTGAGTTTAGTGGGCGGCCGCACGTAAGGGTTCTCCTCTGACCCGCCGACGGCCGCACTTTCCTCTGAGGGAACACAGACACACACAGGTCAACACAAGAGCAGACGACAAACACACACACACACACACACACGTGACGTCCTGCGCAGGATTACCTCGGCCCGGCTGCAGGTCCCAGGCGTGCGGCGCGTGAGGGTGCAGCGGGGTGGACACCAGGTGGGCGGACAGGGAGAAGTCACGCGTGTGATTGGGACACGGCCCGACCGAGACGTTCCTCGCTCCCCACACGGCGCTCTCATCCGTCATGGACTCGGTGCTGACCGGAGCGTCCTGATAAACACACACACCGTCAAGGAGAAACCGTCCTGAGACCGTTCACACTGGGGGGTCAGGGGTCAACTAACAGCACAAAACTGGAGGAATCACAGAACACGATTGCGTTTCCATCAAGACAACACAAACATCACTTCCTGGGAATCTGATCAGTGAAAGCTGCTGCACATGTTTTTATCATAAATCATAAACGCTGTCGTGTTCTCTGGCGTGCGGACGCTGGTGTTCGGGAACACACTTGTGTGTGTGTGTGTGTGTGTGTGAGACGCTTCTGTCTGGGGGAATTACACCACATCATTCTGATCACACACTTCGACTCTGGCGTTTCAGAAACACCAAACCAACATTAGAGACGCTGCGACGCCATTGGTCCGCTGGCTACTCCAGTCATCCAATCACAGCCGACACTGAGTTTTTTGGCGAGAGATTTATTCAGTAAATGCGTTTCCACCTCAGCTTGTGTGCATGCTGGACCCGAGGAGTCGAACACTCGTTCGGTGGGTTGGTTTCGATTTGAAAAAGTGTCTTTTTTGACATTTGCACTTGAAAATGTTTTACACTATAAAACCTGGTGATATATACTTAAGTTCATAAAGTACATGTGCCTCGTCTTGGACTACTGAAAGTGTTCGTGACACAGGAGTGTTCTCCGGCTCGAGCGCAGCGGAGTGTGTGTGGACAGAAGAGCCTGAGCCTGTGTTGAGGATTAGCCTGTTGCTTTGACATTGTGGAAAATAGAACAATAGAAACTAAACGAATTATCAATCTAAACTGTGAAATATAGATTGTACTGGGACGTCACGTATAATGCAATCGCATTAATCATTTTAAATAACCTTGTTCTATTTACAGTTTATTTAATTCATTTTATATAAATTTAATTTTTTTTTTTTTTTTTTTTTTAAATTTCGTTTTTATTTTTTTTATTAATTTCGTTTTTATTTTTATTTAAATTTCTTTTTTTATTTATTTAAAACAAACCTATTTTTTTCAGTGAGAAAAATATCATAAAACCTTATTAAAATATTGCTTAAGTGAACAGACCTGTGTGTGTGTTTTATTTATATATCACTCTTGTGCAGTGTCTGTTCTCAGAGGACAAGCTCTGCTCGCACTGTTCTGTAGTTTATTAAAGGGATACTCCACTTTTTTTTTGGAAATAGGCTCATTTTAAAACTCCCCCAGAGTTAAACAGTTGAGTTTTACCGTTTTCGGATGTATTCAGCCGATTTTCTAGAAGGATATCAGTAAAGTTTCTAGTCTCATTGACTTCCATATTAGGAAGAAAATATACTATGGAAGTCAATGAGACCAGAAACTGTCTGGATACTGATATTCTTCTAGAAAATCGGCTGAATACATCCGAAAACGGTAAAACTCAACTGTTTAACTCTGGGGGAGTTTTAAAATGAGCCTATTTTCAAAAAAAGTGGAGTATCCCTATAAAAATGTATTAATTCTGAACGCGTCACGTCTCGTCTATCTATCTATATTGCACCAAATACGAAAACTGTATTGGACCAGCCCTAGTGTCTCGTTATCTGATCAAACGTTTATCCACCTCGACTGAGTGCATGAGTTTTTAAAATGTGTATTTTCAGGATTCAGGGAGTTTCCATTCAGGCCATGTCCACACTAATATGTTTTCTTTTGAAAACGTATATTTTTCTCTCCGTTTTGGCCTTCCGTCCACACCGAGACGGCGTTTTAAGTCAACAAAAACGTATCGTTTGGAAAACGCTCTCCAAAGTGGACAAATTTGAAAACGCTGTTTTCGCGTTGTAGTGTGGACAGTGAAACCGGAGGCATTTCAAAACGATGACGCAAGTTTAGTCATGTGATCCATGCAGTACTAATAGATATTCATGTTTATCGGTATTGTGCCTGTTATGTGTTATTCATTTTTACACTATTGCTAAAATATGTTACTTAATATGTGCTCAGTACTGCAAAGATGACAGATAATGTACTCACATTTGCTGTCCTGCGGCAAAACAGGAGTTGCATTTTAGCCCAAACATATAGTGACTGAATGCGACCTGGACGCATCCGTGATGGTGAGATATTTTGCTAAATAAAATTATCCTGTTATTGTGCGATGACATTATTATTTATTTCACCCTCTGTAACGTCTCTCAGTGAGCTTTTGTGAAGTTTCACGCATGCGCAGTAAAGTGAATTTAGAAGTTTCTCATCCACACTGAAACGTCAGAAAACGGCTGAAAACGCTAGTGTGGACAGAGCGTTTTTAAACGAAAACCCCGTTTTCAAATGTATCCGGATTAATGTGGACGTAGCCTCAGTGTTTATTATGCAGTGTCCCAGAATTCCCATACTCACGTTGTCTTTGGACGGGGGTATTTGCGTCAGCGCTCGGGTCACGGCTGGTTGGGTTCGGGCCGGATCAGAACTGCGGGACAGAACACAGTGAGACCTCTCTCTCTCTCCGGGACAGGCTGACAGACAGAGAGAGCTATATAACTCACCCTCCGCTCTCCTGCTCATCTCGGTCCCGGTAGATCATGAACGGGGTCGTGCCGGCTGCCGTAACACACGAGGGGGCGCTAGCTGAACACACATCACACAGTCAGAGGGCCAACACAAACACACACCCACTTTTCACATTGTGAAACGACTTATTTTAAAATCAGATTCCTCAATCATCAAAATAAATGGATGATTATTCGACTGCAGACCAAGTTCTGATCACTTATTAGTTCGTTAGTGCTGCTGCACTCTACAAGCATGATCAAACCCTTATTCAATCTGGGACAAATTACAGTAAATTCAATATACTATATATATGCTTACGAGACATGAGAACGATCTGACACAGCATTAGATGACTTAGAGATGTGGAGTGTGTGTGTGTGTGTGTGTTCTCAGATAAGGACGTACTGATTCTGCAGCTCTTCTCGAAACTGTCCTCCGGCTGAATGATGCTGTTGAACATGGACTCCTGGAGGAGGGTGGGCGCCTGAAACATGTCCATGATCACACCTGCAGCACACACACACACACACACCAATGACAACAGGAATACCAGCAGTACACCAAATTAAGCAACACACTCTACTTTTGTCTTCTTTTAATGCAAAAGCTCCGGTTCTCCTCTATATCAGTGTTTGTGAACTCCTGAAACGCCTCTTTTGTAATCTCGAGTTTCTCCCGAACGAACACGTCACAATATTCCTCATTATAATAATTCATACACAGAATAAAGGGGCGGGGCCTGGTTGAGTTGTTAAACTGATTATGGAAAGGGGCGGGACCAATCACAGCACACTGATCCAGCCGACCAATCAGAGCACAGTGTGCTTTTCAGGAGGAGGGGCTTCATAGAGACAGGAAGTGAACAGAGCGTTACTGACAGACTGGGAAGAGAGGAGCCGCAACACTGGAGAATAATCAACATTCCTGTTCTAGGAGAGCCTGAACACATCAGAGTAAGTCCTCTTTAACCCCTGTGCGTCAATTATAAAACAGTGTCACGCAGGTCCATTAAATGTGAACATCTAGCCCCGCACGTGGCCCAAGTGAACATGTGATCAATCTTTGAATGAGGCGTGTGTGTGTGTGTGTTCTTACCCAAAGCCTCACGTGTGTTGACAGTGGGAGAAGGGAGAACACGGGACGGTGTGGCCTGAACGAAACCCAGAGAGGAGTTCGGAGTAACATGAGAGTGATTGAACGCCCCACATGATGCTGAGAGAGAGAGAGAGAGAGAGTGTGTGTGTGAGTGCACTTCCAGCAGCTCTACAGGAGCGAGTGAAGACGAGGAGAAATACTCACTGTCTGTAACATTTCCATCCGCATCCCCCTGATCACACGCTCTACAGACACACACACAGACACACGTTACAACCGCATTCATCTCTCAATACTTTATAGTTCAAACTTTTCAACTGCGCAAGTATTCTTACACTTTCAACGTTTCTCTTTAAATAAACTAACAAAAACATTCATGTGTGTGTGTTGCAGTGGATGTTGTGTGTGTGACACTCACAGATTGGTGTTCTCGAGGACAGTCCTTCCAGAAAAACGCTGAGTTTTCTGTGATTGTTGCGGGCAAAAATCCTTGATTACGCGGCCCGTTTTCTTTAAAAATGCGATGGAATATGCGGGATATTTATGCAATTTTATGCGATGAAATTGTGGGAACTTGCAAAAATTGCGGGAATTTGCAAAAACTGTGGTTTGATAAAAAAAAAAAAGAGAAGAAAGGTGATTCCCCCAACATCTGTTCTCACTAGGCTAATGTAAGATTCATTTCTTATTACTTCCTTTGATAAGCAAGCATACATCATCATAGAAAGTGCTGGGAATATTTAATTTCTCATCTTGTTTTATTTCAGACTGTAACGAGTGTAAATAAGGTGTGGCCCCTTTAAGAGCTGCGCGCTCCCTGTTGAACTCTCTGCAGTGTTATATGTGCGCCTCGAACGCCCCATGTGTGCGGGTAATTTCTGTTTGATGCTACTTCTTTTATCTTATGATGTTTATTAAGTAACGATGTGACGGTAGAACGTTCGACAGACAGATACACGAGACGAGTTTGATTTGTGAGATGTCAATCGCCTCCGTGAGTCTGTCTGGCGTCGCGTAATTGCGTCACTTCATAACGTTCCCATGGAAACAGGGGGAAATGGCTGCTCTTGCGTGAAGCAAACGCAACATTTTTCAACTTTCTGCTAAGATACATGTGACTTTTTTGCAACGAAAATGCGAGGATTATGAAATTATGCAAACCCTGCATATTTTGCACGGAAATCGGCAATTTATGCAGCGAAAGTGCGGCGTATTTGAAAAAATGCGGCCCCCGCATAAATATGTGGACCTTGGCTGATTTTGCATTGAATTCAGCGATCGCATAATCACGTTTTTCTGGAGGGACTGCGAGGACAGTCATGTGTTGTGTGTGTGTCACTCACAGATCTGTGTTCTGGGGTTGGGTGCAGCAGCTGCTCTGGATCAGGGATGACGGCTGGTGTGTGTGTGTCCTCAGACTCTCTGCGCTGGGGAACGGGTCCGTCAGTGAACGGCTGGTCTCTGTCCCAGCATGCCCTGCGGTCTCGGAGCGCAGCTGCAGTCCAGTGTGAGGTCTGGAGAACGACACCGGCTCGGGGAGATGCACTGCGGTCTGACTCTCCTGCACACCATCATCATCATCATCATACACACTCTGAAAGCACTGCTCACTGTAACCGCTCACAGGTGGGGAAATGCAGTATCAGGCAAGTACTTTTATCTTTTCTTTTAATGATACACAATGTTTTAAACAGCTTTACAGAAAATCATGATGTTTATAATATCTCAGTCTCCATGCCTTAGGCACATCTACAGCTGGGCAATATTATGTGATGATGGAAACAATCCAGCAGTTGAGATTTGCTATATCCTATATATCAATACTGACCTGATATTAACTAATAATAACATATTTTATAGGTGACTTTTCACGATCCATTCAAATTAACTCGCACTAGAGCCGAATGATTCTGGATAAATTGAGATTCACGTTTGTTTTGGGGTTTAAAATGGAGATCTCGATTCTGAAGACAACTAAACACATTCTGACTAAATATTGATTGCTCAGCCAGGTTTGAAAATAAATTATTTTCATTTAATGAATGAATGATTGAATCACTCAAAGACTTCTTTGATAACTGGATGAATCAGCGTTTTTGAAGTGATTCAATGATTAAAGGAGTAGTTCACTTTTCAAAAAACTTTTGCTGATAATTTACTCACCCCCGTGTCATCCAAGATGTCCATGTCTTTCTTTCTTCAGTCGAAAAGAAATTAAGGTTTTTGATGAAAACATTCCAGGATTTTCTCCATATAATGGACTTCAATGGGGTCCAAACGGTTCAAGGTCCAAATGAGAGTTTCAGTACAAACTGTTCAAAGGGCTTTAAACGATTCCAGACGATGAATAAGGGTCTTATCAAGCGAAACGATCGCTCGTTTAATAAATAAATAACAAAGTTTAAGTTTTATAAGCTCAAATGCTCGCCTTGCTCTGTTCTGTGACACGCGTTCGTGACTCTCCTGTTCGAACTCGTTCATCAACGAACTTTTCCCGAGTCAACTCTTTCATTTCGTTCGTTTAATGAACCAAATGACACAAAAAAAGATTTGTTCATTTTGATGAACGAGTTAGAAAACAGGAGTCACAAACACACATCACAGAACAGAGCAAGGCGAGCATTTGAGCTTATAAAACTTTTTTTAAATGAGTGATCGTTTCGCTTGATAAGACCCTTATTCATCGTCTGGTGTCGTTTAAAGCCCTTTGAACAGTTTGCACTGAAACTGTCTTTTGGACCTTGAACCGTTTGGTTCCCATTGAAGTCCATTATATGGAGAAAATCCTGGAATGTTTTCATCAAAAACCTTCATTTCTTTTCAACTGAAGAAACAAAGACATGGACATCTTGGATGACACGGGGGTGAGTAAATTATCAGCAAAAGTTTTTTTAAAAGTGCCTCCATTACAGTAGCCGTCAGTGTTTATATATCTGAACTATAAACTGCATCCAGTACTTCAGTGATAATGCGTTTCATCTCTCTATGTGTTTCAGTCGGTTTCATCTCTGTACAGGAGGTCAGATCTGAATGTTCGCACTGGTCTAAGCTTTAATAGACAGATAAAGTGGGTGTTTGAATGGAGATCGGCAGCTTTTAATGACGCCTCAGTGTGTGTAAAGAGGGACGGCACAGAAGTGTTGGGTCATGAGGAGATGTCTGGGTCTGTACCGTAAGCGTCACGTTCTTCTCCAGATCCTCCAACAGCTGCTTCATCTTCCTCACCTCGTCCTCCTCTTCCCAAAGCCTGCGCTGCTCCTCGGCTGATCAAACAACACTCATTACAACAGCAGCACTGCGTGTGTGTGTGTGTGTGTGAGGTTCATCTATACCACTGAACAACAGAACCTGAATGTCTGTGTGTGTGTGTGTAAAGTGAATGTCTTCCTCACCCAGTCGCCGCTGCTCGTCCTGCTGTCTGCGTTTAGTGAAGTAGCGTCTGGCTCGGAGCTCCTCGAAGGACAGCTCGGACCCCTCACACTGCAGCTCTTTCACACAATACATGGACACACACTCCACACCACTGCTGCCGGCCGGACGGGTCGGCTTATTCTCCGAGCGCGAGATTCTGAGGAACAACAACATCATCATCATCATCAGAGCTCCTACACAGGCCTCTACTGAACACACACAGACTCACTGTTGAACATGAAGTTCATGTCACACACACTTACATGCGCACCATTCGGGTAGCAGGAGAGGCTTCTGGATCCTGCAACAGAAACCGTTCAGTTCACTCATGTTTGCTTTCGAGCTTCATGAAAAACGCAAAAGCACTATGAGAGTCGCGGCACTTTTTACTCCAGCCGTCTGAAGTCATACGAGGCTTCATGTGGTACACACGGACCGCTTTCTGTTGACCGATGAACTGGATTTGTCATCAACAAATCATTCAGAACTGAATCAACTGATTCATCACAGAAAGCCGACTCAAAAGAATCGCTTGAATCTCATGAATGAATCGAACGTTGCTGCTTTTCTCACGATCATGCCAAAGAGAGCCAGACAACAAGATGTTCAGTAAACAACACAGATATGGATCTGACCCTCACACAAAGCCTCATGTGACCACAGAAGAGTTGAAGTACAGTGCGTGAGTCTATAACTACTGGATCCGCACATGTACAGCTTTGATTCTGTTATGTTAAAGTGAATCTTACTTGCATCAATAATAAACTGCGGATAAAATTCAAGAGCTTTAAAAAAGGAGCCTCATGAAATAAGCCCATGTGACTGGTGCTGCATATCTGAAGGTGTTCGACTCAGTTCAGTGAAAAACAAAGCAAAAGATCATGATTATTTGATAGACGTATCGTGCAGAAATGACCGTGTGCAGTTCCCAGGACCGTACCTTACTCTGCGGCTGAACATCTCTCTGCCGGGGGGCTTGATTGACCAGCTGCGAGTTCTGCAGCGGCTGCCGCACGTGATCTGAGTGAGGAAGAGTGAAGAAGAGAGTGAGGAAGAGGATGATGAGAGTGAGGAAGACGATGAGGAGTGATGAAGAAGAGTGACGAGAGCGAGGTTACTGTACCTGATGCTGCAGTGTGAGTGTTCACCCGTCCCTGGAAGAGCCTGTAGAAGAGAGAGAGAGAGGGAGAGAGTGTTTACAATTTGACAATAACATCAAATTACAATTTGATGTTAACCCTCTGATGGTCTTCAAAAAAAGTAACAATTCCAGACCCCAGACAATAATATTTAATTTTGTAACAGAATAGTTTTTTTTTTTTTTTAACAAATATAATTTTACTCTGTTTATTAATGTTTTTACTCAACATTTGTGTAGTTTTTGGAGGATTTATGATTTTTTTATTTATTTCTATAAATAAATAAATAAATATTTATTTAAATAGGATTTTTACAAAAAAACAGCATTTTATGTTAAATAAACTTTATAAAAGACCCAGATTTCTAACTTTCATTCCTGGGGATACCATGGAGAATTTTACAAGGTTGAATGTAAGATTTTTTTCCTAATTTTTGGAAAAAACAGGTTAAAATTTGTAATAAGTCACTTTATCCACTAGATGGCTAGAGCTCCACTAGGCCTATAACTATTTGAATTACTGAAAGATATAGTTTCTAAAGTTGGATTCATATCTAAATATTGTAAAATCACACTTATAACAAAAATAAAATACTTTTTGTCAAAGTTTAGCATTTGTTTTTGTACTGAAAAAACAACAGTTTTTCAATAATGTTACATTATGATTAGAATCAAACCTGAACATGTTACAAAGAGAAATGTTGGAGTCTTAAGATTTGATCATTTATTTCAACTGAACAGCAATAACAAATTAGCAAATAAAGCAGTAAAAATAAAATAAAAAAAATAAAAAAAGTAAATTGGGTAGAAAATAGAATAACTAGGAACAATAGTTTGGAACAATAGAACAGATGGTCTCATCTCTTTTATTTTTTTTATAGCCTTACAAATGTATTCCTGTGTGTGTGTGTGTGCACATTTTCAATGTGTCTTAGTGTTACCAATTTATTTTTGCGGTGGTTCTGCATTTTAGAGTATTTTATTTTACAAATGATAAGCGAATAGTTTTTATAGTCTGTATGTATTCCTGTATATTGCATTCCTCTATATGTGTGTGTGTGTGCATGTGTGTGAGCATGTGTGTGAGCATGATAATTTTGGATTGTGGATGTTTTTTGCATTGTTGGAAGTGTGCCACTTAATTTCTGTCATTTCTGTCTGTGTTCTGCGTTATTTCTGATTTTGATGATGAATTGTGTCTATTTTGAGTCCAATGATAAATAAATATTAATTTATTAATTTATAGATATTTAAAAGATATCATAAATCCTCCAAAACCTGCACAAATGTTGAGTAAAAACATTAATAAACAGTAAAATAATATTTGTATACAAAAAAAAACTATTGTTCTGTTACAAAATTAAATGGTATTTTTTGGGGACCCCGAAGACCACGAGTGTGACTATTTTTGTCACGCCTACATAAAAACAGATAGAATTCCATTTTAATTTTTTTTTTGTAGATCTTGACAGTGTTGAGAGCCGTAGCAAGTTTCATACCATTTGGAAAAAGAGAACATTTTATTTAATTCAAGCAAAATTCATTTGGGGTCTAACTAAAATGTATTGCAGTATGACGTTATCCATTGCTAAACTATGGCTCATCATAGACTAGCTAACCACAAAGCTAGCTAACGCCACTATCATCAGTCTGTTCTGTTGTGACAATTTTTAAAATGCATTATCATATTATTTTAGTTAAAACTCATAAATAACTACATACTAATGTTAGGGAAATCTGTTAATGTTTTGTTGCGCGTTTCTGAAAAAAAAAAAAAAATATCGGCCGATATATCGGATTTTAAAACCAACAAATATTTCCATCGGTATCGGCCTTCAAAATCCTCTATCGGTCGGGCTCTACTTACAAATCTTGACTGAACCATGGAGAGAAAAACTGTCATTGGTATAAAATGAGTTCAAGGATTGTAATTGACAACTCATCAATTAAACATTTATCATCATATATTGTGCATAATTGGATGTTTTTAAATAAAACTACACAAGTTTTAGTGCTGGACGATATGTTGATGTATATTGATATAAGTGATCACATGGATTTAGACCTATATTGGTTCATTTTCAGATTCTGATGACAGCTCTGTGTGTAACTTGCATGGGTTTCTCGTTCCCCACTGTAACGCGCGCTAGCAAAAGTAAACGGGTCAACCTTGATTTCATGGCAACTTTAATTGACATTTGTGATTTGCATGAAACCAGATGTTCTCAGGTAAAGCACATTATGTGAAGGTTATCTGAAAAACTATATAACATGAACTGTAAAAACAAAAGTATTCACTGTTTCCTGCAACTGTAATTCCTGCTAATGCATTGATGCCGTCTCTATGCATTAAATGTTTTTGAGGTTTGGATTTGTGCTGAACAAACATGTTTAGCATTAAATTGTGATAATTAAGATAATATAGTTACGGTATGTGCGGAAATCATTAATTCAGTTTAAAAATAAACCAGATTTTATTGTAAAACCAGACTGTATATATGAAGAGTTCAGATGCAAAAGCCTCTAAATGCCATTTGAAATTTTCTTCTAAAATGACCATTTTTATCAAGCTTGTATATTTAAGTTCAGTAATTTCACTTAAATGACAATTAATAGGTAATCTTCATTGCCATTTAAGTGAAATTACTGAACTTAAATATACAAGCTTGATAAAAATGGTCATTTTAGAAGAAAAAATCAAATGGCACTTAGACCCCGTTTACACCTGGTATTAAAATGCGATCTGTATCCAGATAAGTTATCCGGATAATAAGTACTGATTCCGTTTACACCTGGCCACATAAATGTGTTTTTGCAAAACGGATATAAATCCGATCTTCACCTCCTGCGTTATATGCAGATTTATTGGATTGCACGCCACCAAAAGCAACAGATCTGAGCGGCATTTTATTGATCATCAGCTAATTTCCAAATCAGAGACATCAATAAGAGAGAGTGGCAACAGGCCTGGTAAGATAATTTCGTTTCTTTACTTGAAGATGTGTTAACTGCGTCTGTGACTTACTTTCACTTTTATTTGCGATGTTTGCACGTTGAATAGACGCTCAGCTGCTCATCTGCGGTGATGCGTGTCGCATCTGACTAGGCTATAACATGACATAGCCTATATAACACGCTCTCACTCGTTTATTTTTTAGCATTTTTGGGAGGAGTAAAATATACATATGTGGTTTCAACAACCAGATTGCGTTTACACCTAGTAAAGATCCGGACACAATGCGAGCCAGACTACCTCCAGATGTGGTCAGGCAGATCCGATCACGATCCGATCACAACGCGTTTACACCTTGCATTAACATGCGTTTTTTATTATCCGGATAACTTATCTGGATACAGATCGCATTTTAATACCAGGTGTAAACGGGGTCTTAGAGGCTTTTGCATCTGAACTCTTCATATATATAATAATGTGATATGATTGTCTGATAGTCTCTCACCTGTATGTTTAATAATGTGATCTGATTGTGAGCGTCTCACCTGAACTGCTGTAACACACTGTCCTGCGGCTCAGCCCTGTTCTCCAGCGCTCTCTGGTACACCAGCTCAGCCTGGGACAGCTGCCCTCTCTCCTCAAAGCGATGCGCCCAGTCCAGGTACAGCGCCGCCGTCTGCGTGCCCACGCCGCGGCCGTGAAGATAACTGTACACCTCCGTCGGGTCGCTGTAGAAGCTGGCCTGCACAGAGAGAGGCAGGTGTGTGTTCATCTCACAGATCCTGAGCCTGACTGAGAGAGAGCGAGACTGGACCTACACTTCTGACGCAGTGCGAGACGTATCGCGGGTCGTTGTGGTATCGCTCATCCTGAAGGAAGGTCTGAACGATGTGCTCCAACACCACAGACAAACCCTTCCTCTCCTCCAGGGACAGCTTGCTCTCCAGAAACTGAACGAACCTGCCAAACCAGCCATGAGTGATGGACAGACAGGGTCATTTCATCATTACTGTAATAAAGACTTTAAAGATGATCTTACTTATCCCAGGGGTCTAACGGGTCATCGCCAGCATAACTGCGCACGCTCAGCTCAAAGGCCCTGCAGTGATGAAGTGCAGTGAACATCACATGATACACATTAATGACTAATATCACACTGATGAAGAGCAGTGAACATCAACTAATACACATTAATGACTAATATCACACTGATGATAATGAAGAGCAGTGACATCAACAGATGCACATTAATGACTAACATCACACTGATCATAATGAAGAGCAGTGACATCAACAGGTAAACAGTGACAATCACACAATATGATGACGTTTCACATAGACAGACATGGTTTAAGGCATTTCTCTGGTGTTATTAATATTCTCTCCTGTTAATAATATTATCTGGTGTTATTAATTTTCTCTCGTGTTATTAATCTTCAGACAGTAGCAGTTGAACACTATGATATGAGAAGCAGCCACGGATTCAAACACTATCATAAGTTTGCTGTCATAGTCTGCGCGAGTGTAAAATGTGTAGAAACACGACTAGCACAGAGAAGAAAGACACACAGATGTGTCATATAGAACAAACCATCATGATATTTTAAGAAAACATATGAAAAAAACAATAAACGAACTGAAGGAAGCTGAATCGTGAACATAACCAGACCGCTAAATTACTTACTGAAAATAAGAATTAATGTCCATCGTTTCTTCTTATTGAACACCAAAAGTACTAATGAAGTTGTTTACGGCTCAGCGAGACTCATTTAAACCATATTAATAAAGATATAAAACTAATAACTCCGCTAACTAGCGCCGCTTTGCTAACTGCATTTTGCCAACAACAACCGTTTTCAAATTTCCTGCTAAGCCAATCGTTAGCCTTCATGTCGCTCAAGAGCCAATCAGAGTCCGACAAAACAATGCGTCACATTTTACCATAGATATATACACTAGACGTCACCTGGGGGTTCTAAGTATGCGTCAAAACCGCCGCCATCTTGGAACAGGGGTCTTGTCATAGGAAGTAGCTAGGTAACGCTGCTATCAATTCAATTCAATTCAATTCAGAAAGCTTTATTGGCATGACAAAAAATACATTTTGTATTGCCAAAGCGTCAAAACAACATAGAAAATGATTTGAAACATTTAGTACACAAAATATTAAAACTGATATTAAATAAATTAATTAATAAATAAAATAAAATGGATTTAGAAATCATATTATATATATATATATATATATATATATATATATAAAAGTAAAATATTGAACATTATATACATGTGTGTAGGTCTTAGGCTGTGAGTGAGTGTGTGTTTAGTGTATGTTTGCTGGTTTCTGGTCGTCCCTCAGGATGTGGCAGGATGCTACAAATTTTGCAGCTATATTTCAGCATTTGGCTTCTTCGCCAAGAATGAAACAAAGTTTTTGGGTCGGATTACAGGTGTTAAATTGGGGAAATATTTTATTAATTTTGGGGTAATAGTGATCTCTAATGTGTTCATATTTCTCTGCCTTTACTTCGAATTCATTGATGGTGGCGGACTTTTGTGCAGCGTATGAAGTTCACGGATGAAATCTGAACTAGGAAGAATGTTTTTTTTTTTTTTTAATTAAAAAAAAAATTTCTTTCTGGAATCAATGATAAATACATGTCTGACCGTTGGAACAAACCAAAAAAACAAGAAAAATCCCATTCATGATGATTTATGGTGATTTTATTTGCGTTAGACCTGTGTCTACTACATTGACGCTGATGCATTAAAGTGGAGGGGCTCCCCTGTTTCAAGATGGCGGCTCTATTGACGCATTCGTTCTAATCTAGGTCTAGTGTATATGTCTATGGTCTGTGACAACGGGCGGGGCATACATTAATATTCATGAGTTTCCCGTTTGATAAAAAGTCACTATTATGAAAAAACTGAAAAGTGATCTCGTGCCATCATGTGTGTTTTTTTATCACTAATTAGTCCAGGAGATTGCATAAATGAAGTGAGTGATATTACATGTTTTTTTTTTTAAATCATGATATTACACAATATTTAACTGTCTGAAAGATTTTAGCTGTTATGAAAAGATCATATAATTCCATATAATTTTTTTAACAAAAGACACTAGATTTCACCCATAGCCTACAATCAGACATCATTTCAATTTATTTATTTATTTATTGTTTTTTTTATTGTTATATATATTTACGTTGAATGTGAGCAATTATCAAGTGTCATGACATTAATGAATGAAACTTTATGTAAGCGAACGTCAAGAATTTGTAACCTTTGTCCAATTTCGATGTTTTCACAGCTCCCTGAAAACTATCAACAAAACTGAAAACATCTGCTATTCTTACTTTTGTCAGATATATGAATGATTGAGAGAAAACAAGCTGTTCACAGTCCATTTTGAGAATGAATGTCGATCGCAGCTGGTCGTATTGTTGTCGTCTGTGTCTGACGTGATTTAACTTCTCCCCAGTTGTGCCATGAAAACACGGAAAGCTGTGAAGTGATAAATTAGGTTGTTTCTTCTCATAAACAGGTAAGCAACATGACGGACCGCTTTTACTCTCCGCATATTTGTCCTCCGCTGCAACTGTGCTAGCGCTAAATGCTTTCACCGGAAAAAAGTTGACCCTACTTCCGGTCCCAGTCGCCATCTTGTGAAATAGGCCTATTGTAGCGTCAATCGCCCCAGTTTCTACACGTCTAGCTGATTTTATCTGGAACAAATGACCATAACCTGCAGACCTAACATTTTGTCCGTGGTAATTAGGCTACTTTATTTCATTCATGGTTTTTATTTGACAGATTATATCTTATCCAGTCATTTTACCTCTTGCAATGCCTTTAAACGGCAAATTAGACCAGTACCATGTAGTTTTACACTTGACAAAAAGGGATTTAAAACCTCGACTTATTGAGTTAGCAGTTCTTTCTGCCTAAAAATGACTTTGTTTCATTCATGAGGGTTATATGACAGATTGTAGTGTATACACATTTACATGTCAAGTCAAGTCACATTTATTTATATAGCGTTTTTTACGATAGGCCTACAGATTGTATCAAAGCAGCTTCACAGTGATAACATGAAAGTCACCGATTCTTGAAACTTTGGCAAAAACATGTCCCACTTTCTGTTGGAAATTAATAACATTTTCATGCAGACAAATCAAGGTTTTAATCTGGGGGTCCTTATAAGGTCATTTTATAGGTTTATTTTTAATGATAATCATTTCAACTTGATTAAAAAAACTAAAAATAATAATTGAATTGAATAATATATTTACCACATGAAGGAGTACATTGCAATATGTATTAAAAACTACAAACAGTGAGTTTTGAATAATATTTACTATTATTTTGTGGTTCCTCAAAATGTGTCCCACATATTCGTCACAACCGTCAGATATTTATAAAAAAGCAATCAAATCAGGCAACTACAAGGTTCACTACATTCCTGAGGACCCCATTTTCAAATCTTCAGCTCTACTATGCATCAAGATCACTCAAGCTCCCATAAGTTTGCTATTTTCTCTTCAACTTGTTCATATTTTTGGACACTGCTAATGTCACAACCATAACATGTCAACACCGTCTCTTTTGTATAAAAAAATATTAGATTAGATTATGACATAAGTGTATACTTTTTAAGAGGAGGCCTGAAGTAGCTAGCAACAGAGGGAAAACAAGATGGCTAATGTGAACAACTCATGCATATCATGTGAAAGAGTAGGTTTTTGTCACCACCGTGAGGTTTTCTGTCTGACGGTGGTGACAAAAACCTCCAAATGGTCCTCAACGGAGGCTAGAATTATACAGGTGAAACTCGAAATATTTGTATATCATGCAAAAGTTCGTGAATTTCAGTAATTCAAATGAAAAGATGAAAGTATTATATTTAGTTTATACTACTAGGGTCAATATCACTATAAAGTGCCTTTGGTGTCCTCATCAGAATCGCTCAGTCATCATGAACATAATGAAATTCTGAGGTTTTATTATAAGTGGCCCAACACTTACACACATACAAGTACGATGATAAGTCTTGAAATGTGTTTGTCTGATTTTATACCATTTTCTTTGATTGCATGTATGTGATTTTGGCATGTCCCACACGCTACTCGGCTTACTTCATTGATTGTAAAAAGTGGTTAAATGACATAAAATTAAAATACTTTTTGAATGTTCTTATTGTCCTCAGCAAATTATTTAATAAAACAAGTCATTTTGATTATTTATATTTTATTTTCATAATAATATTAAGTATTAATGCATGTGTTCCTGAAATTGCTGTCCACCCTGTCATTTTTGGGTAAACGCCCCTTTAAGAAATCAACTGATGTACTCAGTGATCTTTCAGTGGTCTTTCTTCAGTGGAGGTTAAAACATCTACTCAGTAAGTATCTAGACTTATATTTCCTAATTTTCGTCATATTGTGTTTGTAGTTGTGTGTTGTCAAGCTTAACATGTCCACCCTGAAGCTGATGCTTGAAGTCCTAAGAGAAAATGGTGTCGTCAAGTCTAGCAAACTGGAGGAGAGTTTTGAACTTGTCTGCTGTTCACAAACAAGTGAGGCATGTCTTCTTCGCTCCTGCGCCCGGTGTCTCCACAATCATGCACTTCCCACACCACAGCAAGAACAGACCAATGTTGAATGGCAGCAATGGGAACAAGTTCAGGATCAAACTGCAGATGGGCTCCACTTCAACACAAGACGTGTGATGCACAGTGGCACACTGGGAGAGCTTATCCAATGATATGAAGACAGAAACAACACACGTGTGCTCAGTTCAGAACCAGACCAGAGAGTACAGGAGCATTGAGAAGTGCAATGATAGCACAGTAATTGTGCATGTGGACTTTCTGAGGCGTGGAAATGCAATGTCTGAGGTACAGTCATGCCATTTTGGTCCGAACCTCCCACAGCTCAACCTGCACACTGGCATGTATTATACAGAAGAACAGAAGACAGGCTTTTGCACAGTATCAGAATCCAAGCGACAAGATGCATCTGCCATTTGCACTCACATGGAGCCAGTCCTGAAAGATATTCGTTTAAAGTTTCCAAAGGTTGATGCTATTCACTTTGGGTCAGATGGCCCCAGCAAGCAATACAAGAACAAGAATAACTTTTCTCTCCTCTGCAGTGTCCCTCCAACTCTAGGTTTCAAGAGAACAAGGTGTTGAGTCGTCTCTTTACTGGTGTTGAGTCGTCTCTTTACTGGCGTTGAGTCGTCTCTTTACTGGTGTTGAGTCGTCTCTTTACTGGCGTTGAGTCGTCTCTTTACCGGCGTTGAGTCGTCTCTTTACTGGCATTGAGTCGTCTCTTCACCGGCGTTGGTCTTCTCATCACGTTGGGGCATCTGAAGTCTCCGTGAGAGGCTGGATACATAACTGGAGCTGACTAACGGATTAACTGACTAACTAGACAAACGGGTCGGCGCGTATGGTTGGGTTGCGGAGAGTTCGGGTTACGGAGAGTTTGTGAGTTATAACGGAAATCATTATGAACATCAGCTATGCTAATTATTTCCCATCTGCCTTTCTGCTGTTCTCTCGGGACGCTTGTCCCGAGAAAAATGGCGTTCGTCAGGTCCAGTTTTGTGTCCAGCCTCTCACGGGGATTTCGGATGCCCCAACGCCTGTGATGAGACGACTCAACGCCTGCGATATGTTATGGCGCCGTTTGATTCATAAACAATATTTATATTTAAACAATATGAATGTAAGCCAGAGGAGAACTGGCCCCCGACTGAGCCTGGGTTCTCCCAAGGTTTTTTCTCCATCCAATCTGATGGAGTTTTGGTTCCTTGCCACTGTCGCCTTGCTTTTGGCTTGCTTTGGGCTTGCTCAGTTGGGGTTATTTAGTGTTTAGCAATGTTGTTGATCTGTGTTGTGCTACTTACATGTTATCACTGTGAAGCTGCTTTGATACAATCTGTATTGTGAAAAGCGCTATATAAATAAATGTGACTTGACTTGACTTAACGCCATTTTTCTCGGGACAAGAGTCCCGAGATAACAGCAGAAAGGCAGATGGGAAATAATTAGCATAGCTGATGTTCATAATGATTTCCATTACACGGGAGTAGATGTTAAAAAAACACAATCTCAGAAACTCGCAACCCAACCATATGCACAAAACTTTGGCTGTGGTGATGGTGGTGGCAGGAGGGGCTGGGTGGACTGCCACTGGAGGGATGATCATCATCTGAAATGTAAATTAGAGGAAATAAAGATATTAGTATATCTGGGCCTATTTTTATAATATAAAGATATATTATCTTATTATTGTTTGCATTGTTTCTATTGTATATAGCCTATGCAGTGTCTATTTTTTGTTATTTTGTTTGTACCTGATCACTGTCCTCCAGTGCGTGCCTGTTCAGGGGGAACAAACCTGTCAGCCAGAACCCCTTCTTTATGTTCTCCACGATGGCCGCCTTTGGGTAAGCAAATTTACCAGTCCTAACCAGTCCCATATTTGTAGCCAGCTTGGTGAAGGCCTCTTTTAGTGGACCGAAGAGGGACACATCGAGGGGCTGAAGGGCATGGGTGGTGTAGCTTGGCAGGCACACCACCTCCACACCACTGCCCCGACAGAGGTCCACCACGTCCTTGGACATATGGGTCTCGTGTTGGTCGCAAGTTAGCAGTAGTGGACGCTCTGCCAGAGCATGCTTCAGAAAATGTTCGATCCACCTCACGAACAGGAGCCCATCCATGTAGCCCTTCTTACTGATGGCATACAGGGTGTTGGGGGGGGCCATCTAGCGCATAACTGTCCCTATGCACTTTTATTTTGATAATTATCAAGCCTCTAATGTCAAATCCAGCAGTGCTAGAACTGACATATTGTGCGTGCAGACGCTGGCGCGATTACTCGGGACAAAGGACAACTCTTATTTACAGTCAAACAGACAAGACAAGAGTACATCATTCACAACATTAAAGTGTCCATTTTTTATTTGTATATAGGCTACATTATAAATGACTACAAAATGTCATGCCTTTAAAAATAAAGAAAACAGAATACGGGTTCAGTCTCCTTTCTCACGCACGTGCCCCAAAAATCAACCAAAACACAGCGAATACTTGATATAAGAAATACAGATTATCTATCTATAGAAACCTTTAGGTCTCTACATTGTATTATTTGAGGTTAAATGCATTATATAAGTCACTTTTGAATAAACATCATGTTTTCAGATGATAAAAAACACGATTTATAGTCCGGAAAAAAAATTACCAGCCCGTTCTTTTGCTAAATAATTTCAACGCATTCTCATCCCAAGGCGTCATATACGACACTTTTGCCAAAGCGTAGACATCCAACGCACATGGCACTCTTTAGCGTAAATATGAGATGCAGATATATGGGCCTCCTAGTGGTCTAACCCTCACCCTACCCCAGACCTAAACCTACCCATAACCGAAGTGTGTTATATTGATGCTAAAGGGTCGTATATGACGCCTTGGGATGAGAATGTGTTGAAATTATTTAGCCGACCCCTTGGCTATAGTTCACGGTCCACTTTGAGAAGCACTGGTCTAAGCGTACATAGTTGCGTCCATCTCGTGCATAAATACTGACCTTTCAGCGAGTGAAACACAGTTTTGATCTATGCTTGTAGATGCAACTAACATTAAGATTAATTACATCAATCTAACAATAATTTTTGAAGGTCTTTACATTGTCGAAAAGGGAGCGTCAGCCAAGTCTACGTTTCGCACTGGACTGATAAGCAATGACTGGTGATGTAGAGCTGAATATTGTACAGATAATAACAACTGAAGATAGGAATATCTCTTGATATGGCAGAATACTCTCTGAAGTTCACTTTGCAAGTCATTTCTGGAGTTCAATTTTGTACATTTATATATGTGTCCCTAATTAAACACATCTGATTCAACTCATCAGCTCTTTATAAGAAATGTGTGTCTGACAAAGGAAAGTTGAGAGCGTCCTCAAGGAACAAGTTTGAGAAACACTGCTTTAGATAAGAAATCAATTATTACAGAAGTTTTGTTCTGTTAAACTTGCACCAAATCAATATGTGATGTTCTCTTCTCACAGATCCCTTTAAAATCTGAATAACATGAAATATCAAGCCAGCCGGATAAAGTTGGCCACCTTCGGTTATGATCCACATTCACAACACAGTTCTCTAGTGTATGTCCATTAGGCTCATCAGTCGCCCAGAACCTGAAAATACAGGTCAGTATCAGATGTTCAGTGATGCTCTCTGTGTGATATGATACTATTAGATGATAATCAGTCGAGTCTCACCCAGAGGATAGTGTGCTGTCATCAACCCATTTCCATCTGCCCTCCGCATCATGGTCCGTCAGACCAATCCAGACTATAGCAGTACCATACACGTTCTTCACAAAATCCTGAGCAGATGAAACAGTTGCGTATTTCTGTAACGCTTTAGATTACAGTCAGCAAAGTACAGCGAAACTAAAACAAATACAGCGTACCTTTCTATAAATACAGTGTACGTGTAGGTATGAGGGATCAATATATATAAAAAAAATAGGGAATAAAATTTCACATTATTTATACTGTACATATTATTTGTAAGTACTACTATTTGCTTTAATTACTGGGAAAATACACACTTGTTCTATGAAGTGTGATATCTGCGGTCTGTTAAATGAAAGTAGTGCTTGTACACTCGTCTTCCATGAAGCTAAGTACAATACAATTCATCCAATACTTTGAAACCATTATTCGAAAAACAATTCAAAACAGATTTTTACACTTCTTAATAATTTTTCGAATCAACTTTTCGTTTAAAATACTAAAGTCCTGACAGAAAGTAGTGTAATGGAGTCCACTCGAGGCGGGTTGCAGAAGAACCCAAGTGCAGTTTGTTTTGCTCATGTTTGGCTATAAATAAAGACTTGAATTAAACATTAACTTAAACGTAGAAACAACTCACCGATGCATGGGAAACATGACGGCTTAAATGCACAAGGACTAGTGACTAAACAAGACACATCTGTAAACACAATCAAGACAATTAACCAATGACAACATGACACAAGAGACTAGGGAAGCACATGGCAGGATCACATGAGGACGAGGGAATCACATGACAGGACGGGCAACATAAATGTTACATGAAACATGAACCCAGAACAAAACTATACATTACAAGTAGCATGTTTTGTCCTTTTTATTTCTCTTGCTTGACTTCTTCCTCCTCTTCTTCTTTTTCACTACTTCTTATGACTGAGTCTTATCCCATTGCTATTCTGTATTAACCTATGTATTAAAAGAAAATACGGTACACCCAAAAATGTTCTCGTACTTTACTCATCTTTTCGCTTCCGGGTCACCAGCACGGGCATGAGAGTTGAGTTCACGTTTGATGTAAAAGTAAGCAAATTGTGAAGTGCAACATGAAGCTTGACGTAAGTGCAGTTTATGTACCCTTTCGAGAACGGTCACTTCATATTGCGTAGTTACACGCATTGGGGAAACTTCTTTTCCTGGAATTCTTAAGCTTAAAATGTCACGGTATACAAATTCATGATTGTGAGTATGTATTTTTATTGTATCTGTAACATAATAGAAAAAAACATACCCAACACACACTAACCCGACCCCTAAATCTACCCATCACAGAAAACTATGCATTTTTAAAACAACTTTACTTACTTTAAATTACTTAATTTGTATACTAGATTAACAAATGGAGTTCCTAAAGGAAGGATTTTGGAGGTTTTGGTCACTTCTGGGTACAAATCTTTCCCCAAATATAGTTAAGTAGTATACACACACACACACACACACACTTACATACGCACACACACTCACTTGTTTCTCTGTATTGTTTATGATGATCAGATCTGCTCCTCTCTCTCTACAGAATCTTCTGCTCGCATCCCAGCTCTTCGTCTCAATCGTCATGTAGTACAAACTGGATTTATAGTAAGTCCATCCATCTGTAAACAAGCAGTTTAGCTTAGAAACTTAGCTCAGTTTAACTTAAAAAAGTAAGTAGCCTGGTTGCCTTAAAATTTTAATTCATTGAACTGGAAAAAGTGAGTTAATACAATGAAGGAGAATTATTTAATCATCAGAAACTCAAAATTATATGTTATCTGAACTAAATAAATTATTTAAGTTGATTTGACTAAAGAAACAAAATGTTGTGATTACTACACTGTAAAAAAATATTGTTGGTTTAACTTAAAAAAGTACGTAACCTGGTTGCCTTAAAATTTTAAGTTGATTGAACTGGAAAAAGTGAGTTAATAAAATGAAGGAGATTAATTTAACCATCAGAAACTCAAAGTAATAAGTTATCTCAACTAAATAAAATTATTATAAAGTTGATTTGACAAAAGAAAATATGTTGTGATAACAAATCTTGAAAATATTTTTTTTACAGTGTAGCTGTTTTAAGTTACATTTACATTTATTCATTTAGCTGACGCTTTTATCCAAAGCGACTTACAATGGCTGTATATGTCAGAGGTCGCACGCCTCTAGAGCAACTAGGGGTTAAGAGACACCAATGTGTCCCTGAGTTACTGACGGTTGAGTGACACACTGTAAAAAAAATATTTTCAAGATTTGTTATCACAACATATTTTCTTTTGTCAAATCAACTTTATAATAATTTATTTCGTTGAGATAACTTATTATTTTGAGTTTCTGATGATTAAATTAATCTCCTTTGTTTTATTAACTCACTTTTTCCAGTTCAATCAACTTAAAATTTTAAGGCAACCAGGTTACTTACTTTTTTAAGTTAAACCAACAATATTTTTTTACAGTGTAGTAAACTCATAGAATATAACACTGAAAGTTACTGAGAGCGCAACCCAACTCCATCAAGCTTTAACAGTGTCTGTGTTTAGAAAATAACTACAGAGATTAAAGAAACTTTACCATGACTCTGAATATGATTTCTAAGCTGGTCTCTCTCATTGGTCAGGTTTCTGTTCTTCATTAGTAGCCCATCTCTCTCTTCTGTGAGATTGGTAATGTTGTTTAGTAGCCCATCTCTCTCTTCTGTGTAGTTTGTGCTCTTTGTGTGGATGTGGACACACAGCACTACGACTGCAGTCAGCAGAAGAACACACAGCAGAACCAAACACACTGTTCTGGAGCTTCTGATCTTCACACAAACACTTCCTGAAAACCACAGATATGAAGAGATTAATTACTCGTATTACTCAAAAGTGTGTGATAAGGTCAAATGAATCTCAGTACCTGTGTGATAAGGCAGTTGGTATCTTTTGGGGTCCGGGTTCTCTGTTTCTTCCCCGACATCCAAACTATTTATAGTATCAGTATCATAGATATTCCCCTCTTCTTCATCTTCTCTGTCCATTTTCAAATTGCTGTAATAAGACATTCAATCTGCTGGTGTTAAGAGATTATTAATAGTTATTTCTCCAAGTGGACTGCACTGTTATTCTGAACTTCATGCGTTTCAGGAACATGTGATATCCTGTTAGGATGCAAAAAAATGCTGACTATTGACATATTCAGTGAGAAGTGAGAAAAGAATCACCCCCCTTTAAAATAATCACATTTTTTGCTTTGCAGCCTGAAATGAAAACGCACAAAAACTATTTTTGTTTTATTCAGCTGTATTTACAACTTATAACATCCAAGTGCAAGAGATAATACAGAAGCACTGAGTTGGAAAACAAATCGACTCTGGGGGATAGGAATCTCTGCTCAGGGGGATTTGCAACAGCTGATCTGTGACTGGAGTTTGCATGATGGGAAGTTGCATAGAATCCGGAAGTGATCCGGAAATGGGGGATAAATATTTTGGCACAGATGATGGAGGGAATGGAAATAATGGATGGAGTATCGTAGAAAATCGGAAAAGAAAGACAATCTAAAACTGTCAGTAAAAATGGATTGCATATGAAAAGGAGAATAAAAGAAGAGTTTAAGGTATTGTTGAACATTGTTGCTGGATCTTTCAGTATTATTAATCCGTTGAAGTTATCTAAAGCGATTAAGGAGATGTTCTGACTTGGCTGAAATAAAGTCGTTATTTTTGTTTGTTTTGGCGCACAAAAAGTGTTCTTGTCGTTTGATAAAGTTAAGATTGAGCTATTTTAATGATGTCTTTAATAACTTTTCGAGACCAGCAAGAGTCATTCCCTCAAGATTTTGGAGAAAGGAATTATTCGGGAGAGGAGTAGCCCCGATCGTCCTGGTATGAAAGGAGACTGGTGCCTGGAGGTTCTGTGTGGACTACCGTAAATGAAACCAAGTGACCAAGAAGGACGCCTTCCCGCCACCGCGGACTCTCTCAACTGTTTAACTTTTGGGGAGTTGAACAATCCCTTTAAATAAGTGATCAAAACAGCAGGAATAATCACTAGCACTACTGACTATTGCTTGGAACACTCCATAGTTTTGATCTCCATGTAGTTGCAGCTAAAACTTAAATTAATTGCATCAATCGAACAATAATTTTTGAAGGTCTTTACAAATTTTGATGTTACATTAGTCATTCACGTCACGTTAGTGCTTGGCTAACCTTTGCACTTATTGATTACAGTTAATACAGTTCCCGCATGTGTACTGCAATAAATTAGAAATATACACATCGGTTTGGTGATGGACAAACACTTGTTAATGCTGATGGTGAGAAATTACAGTTAAACATCTCATAATGTGCCACAAGCTGGAGCCTGAACTCCTTTTTAACGCCTTTGTTTTATTAAATCTTATTTCTTCGTACTGGACTGATAAGCAATGACTGGTGATGTAGAACTGAATATTGTACAGATAATAACAACTGAAGACAGGAATATCACTTGATATGGCAGAATACTCTCTGAAGTTCACTTTGCAAGTCATTTCTGGAGTTCAATTTTGTACATTTATATATGTGTCCCTAATTAAACACATCTGATTCAACTCATCAGCTCTTTATAAGAAATGTGTGTCTGACAAAGGAAAGTTGAGAGCGTCCTCAAGGAACAAGTTTGAGAAACACTGCTTTAGATAATAAATCAATTATCACAGAAGTTTTGTTCTGTTAAACTTGCACCAAATCAATATGTGATGTTCTCTTCTCACAGATCCCTTTAAAATCTGAATTACATGCAATATCAAGCCAGCCGGATAAAGTTGGCCACCTTCGGTTATGATCCACATTCACAACACAGTTCTCTAGTGTATGTCCATTAGGCTCATCAGTCGCCCAGAACCTGAAAATACAGGTCAGTATCAGATGTTCAGTGATGCTCTCTGTGTGATATGATACTATTAGATGATAATCAGTCGAGTTCAGTGATGTCTCACCCAGAGGATAGTGTGCTGTCATCAACCCATTTCCATCTGCCCTCCGCATCATGGTCCGTCAGACCAATCCAGACTATAGCAGTACCATACACGTTCTTCACAAAATCCTGAGCAGATGAAACAGTTGCGTATTTCTGTAACGCTACAGTCAGCAAAGTACAGCGAAACTAAAACAAATGCAGCGTACCTTTCTATAAATAGTGTACGTGTAGGTATGAGGGATCAATATATATAAAAAAAATAGGGAATAAAGGGGGCAAATTATCACATTATTTATACTGTACTATACTACTATTTTAATTACAGACACACACACACACTCACTTGTTTCTCTGTATTGTTTATGATGATCAGATCTGCTCCTCTCTCTCTACAGAATCTTCTGCTCGCATTCCAGCTCTTCGTCTCAATCGTCATGTAGTACAAACTGGATTTATAGTAAGTCCATCCATCTGTAAACAAGCAGTTTAGCGGTTAGCTTTTTATTCCCATTTACACTCGCCTGTCAGTAACTTAACACAGCTAGTAAACTCATATAATATAACACTGAAAGTTACTGAGAGCGCAGCCCGACTCCATCAAGCTTTAACAGTGTCTGTGTTTAGAAAATAACTACAGAGATTAAAGAAACTTCACCATGACTCTGAATATGATTTCTAAGCTGGTCTCTCTCATTGGTCAGGTTTCTGTTCTTCATTAGTAGCCCATCTCTCTCTTCTGTGTAGTTTGTGCTCTTTGTGTGGATGTGGACACACAGCACTACGACTGCAGTCAGCAGAAGAACACACAGCAGAACCAAACACACTGTTCTGGAGCTTCTGATCTTCACACAAACACTTCCTGAAAACCACAGATATGAAGAGATTAATTACTCGTATTACTCAAAAGTGTGTGATATGGTAAAATGAATCTCAATACCTGTGTGTTGGGGCTTTTGGTGTCTGTTGGTGTCCAAATTCTCTGTTTCTTCCCCGACATCCAAACTATTTATAGGATCAGTATTAGCATAGATATTCCCCTCTTCATCATCTTCTCTGTCCATCCCATGTCTCCTGGGAATTTTCATATTACCGTAAGACATTCAACCTGCTGGTGTTAAGAGATTATTATTTTATTAGTTATTAGTTAAGAGATAGTTATTTCTTCAAGTGCACTGCACTGTTATTCTGAACTTCTGCTTTTGAGTTTTTGCTTTTAAACCACTGTGGTCAAGAACATGTGATATAGCGCTGATGGCAGAAAATAATTCTCTGTGTGGTCATTTCCTGTAGATCCTAAAATCGACTATGCAATACACTTTCATTTATTTAGTGCTAATACAATTATTAAGCCTATTTGGAGAGAAAGATGTTCAATGTGCCGATATGTCAGTCATCCCCAGACAGCAAACTGACATTGAATCAACGTGGAAACGACGTCTCTCATGACATTGAAACAACGTTGATTTGCTCATCGAATTAACGTTGAACCAACGTCAGACGCGGCATTCTTCAAAGCTAAATGAAAATCGAAAATTGGTACTTTCATAACGTTGAAACAACGCGTTGATTTCAAGTTGATTTTCCGTTAGTTTTGAAAGAATGACGCGTCTGACGTTGGTTCAACGTTAATTCGATGAGCAAAATCAACGTTGTTTCGATGTCATATTTCCACGTTGATTCAACGTCAGTTTGCTATCTGGGTATGCAAATCACCATGACAGTGTTTATTGTTTGATAGCGCCCAGCGTATTTTATTGTGTTTTATTAAAATTTGACTGAACATTGGATTGAAACCAACCGTGAGCAGAGCCTGGCGAGGTAAAAACATTGATCTGAGAAAACCATACAAACATATTAAACCATACATAAAGATTACCTATACCAGCTCTTTTTGTTTGGTGTCTTGACTTCCCACACTTGATAAAGTAAAAGTCCAAGTCCACGACGACCATTGTTTCTTTGGCGCTGCACTTCTTTTAATCACGAACTTTAGTAGATTCTATAAACCGATTGGCCGTAAAATGAACCAATCACAAGACATCTTATGGGGGAGAGGGGGTTAGTCCCAATCCTAGGCTTTAGTGTTCATAAACAGTAAAGCCTACCCCATATTGGGGATTGGGACTAAATTCTTGAAACATACCTAAACCTACCACTCACAGAAGAGGACTTCACTAGGGCCATGTCCACACTAATATGTTTTCGTTTGAAAACGTATATTTTTCTCTGCGTTTTGGCCTTCCGTCCACACTGAGACGGCGTTTTAAGTCAACAAAAACATATCGTTTGGAAAACGCTCTCCAAAGTGAATAACTGACACTGAATCAACGTGGAAACATGACATCGAAACAACGTTGATCTGATATTGTTTTGCTCATCGAATTAACGTTGAACCAACGTCAGACGCGTCATTCTTTCAAAACTAACGGAAAATCAACTTAAAATCAACGCGTTGTTTCAACGTTATGAAAGCAAACCAATTTTCGATTTTCATTTAGCTTTGAAGAATGCCGCGTCTGACGTTGGTTCAACGTTAATTCGATGAGCAAAATCAACGTTGTTTCAATGTCACGAGAGACGTCGTTTCCACGTTGATTCAATGTCAGTTTGCTGTCTGGGACGTCTCTCTCAGTGAGCTTTTGTGAAGTTTCACGCATGCGCAGTAAAGTGAATTTAGAAGTTTCTCATCCACACTGAAACGTCGGAAAACGGCTGAAAACGCTAGTGTGGACTGAGAGCGTTTTTAAACGAAAACCCCGTTTTCAAATGTATCCGGATTAATGTGGACGTAGCCTAGGATACTATAGGGCTACCCCTTATCGGTACAAGCACTGAAACCTACCCCTTACAGGGGATTAATGCTCGCGGGATTTCTCCATTCAACATGCTCGCAGTGGAGAAACAGCGAGTGGATAGAGCTTTCACACTGCACGCGGATGCAGTCCGTCGATCCGTATACAGCAGTGCAGGGATCGTTTCCGCACCGAGTCTATTTCTGCTGTGCTGCAAACGCTGAAATAAAGTGACAGCGCACGTTTCGTGGTCAAAAATGAACACAGATTGACCTGGAAATGTAGTAATTTCACCATACATGCATTTAATTCAATTGAATTAAATGCATGTATGGTGAAATTACTACATTTCTCTCACAATAAATGCATTTAATTAAATACTACTTTTTAATTTAAAACCGGCGTTTTAAGCAAGGAAAACTACAATTTACCTCAACAAGGACATAATGAAAGACACTCGTCTCATTTGTGGAGGTAGAAAAACAACTTCTTTGTGACATGCAAGATTTATTGTATTAAAATTTAAATGCAAAAGAAAAGTCAGCTTTTTTGTCAATTTTAAGTTTTAATTTAAAATGTTTACGATTTTAATATAAATACATGGTTAAATATTTGACCTCTTGCTTGAGCAACTAATATAGAAGGAATGCATGGAATTATATGCCTACATTGTTTAAATTCTGTTTACGTGTATGCGTCCATTCAAGTTTGTAAAAGTGTACAAAGAGAATTGCAATGCTGACAAAACTTTTATTTTAATAAATGTTGCTGCATAACTTCTGAATTTGAAAAAAAAAATAGTGAGTAGGCTATGTGTTTGTGGTAAAGTCACGCCCTGCAAACGCAGCATGCGAAAGCACTTTAGCACATGCTAATCCTGGACCGGTTACGCACCGAAACACTCAACACATACGCACTGCACACGGAGTATGTGTGAAACGGGCGTAACATTACTTTTTTTTTTTTTTTTTTTTTTTTTTATTTAACAGTCAGACATACATACAAACAAACCAACATAGTGCAGTAGTGAGCAATCTTGTAAATCCATAATTCCAGCAGTGGCAAGAGTGATTAAGTGTTTGATCTAAGTGTGTAAGTGAGCGTGTATGAGCGTGGGTATGTGTATGCGTGTGTACACAAAGTAACCATTTATTATTTATTACCATTGTCATTACCATCACTCCCCACTACCACCATACTGCCCATATTGTTTTTGTAGATTTTTATTTCCATCCTTCCTCCTATGTAACAATTGCCATTGTCAATCCTGTACAAAATATGATAATATAATAATATAATATAATAATATAATATAATATAAGACAACCTTCCCCCACATCTCATCAGTCCCTATCTTTTCTATCTTTTTCTTTTTTTTTGTGTGTGTGTTATGTGCAATGTCTAAAGTGCATTAAAAGAGGGAGTACAGTGCGAGAATGTCTCAAATTGGGCCAGAGATGCTGTCCCGTTGAAACTACTTCTCGCCTGTCTTGCCTGCCTTGGTGTTTGCGATGTTTATCCAAATATACTTATTCTTTTTTTTTTTTTTTTTTTTTTTTCCTTTTCTATGTTGTGGTGCATTAAAAACCCATGAAGAGATAAGGGGGAAGTTATTGCATTAGTGATGACAATGACGCTTAATTCTAGTTCTACATTCTAATTCTACAGCATTGACAATGGCAATATTGATGATGATAATAATAATAATAATAGTAGTAATAATAATAATAATAATAATGAATGACAATGATGATGGCAGTGGTGATCACAACGGTGAGAGCAAAAGACAGCAACAACAGCAATTACAACAATGAAACAACAAAAAATTAAATAAAAGTGAAAATAGTAATCATAACAGTGACAGTAAAGATAGCAATAACAATGATGACAAAAACAAGTTCGAACAACTAAAATGCACAAATATTCGTGGGTTGGTTATAGTCTGAGTTAAGAACAGAGAAGGGATTCATAGCTGTGAGAGGTCAGAAAGTGTTGGACGGTAGAGGTCAGTTTCAGATGTGTAATTATGAAGGGGAGATGCGAGTTCCATTGCAATGAAGTCTGTAATAAGATTTTTCCAAATGTTAATGTGTATTTTATTTCTGGTTTTCCAGGGCGTAACATTACTGTCAGAATGCTAGTCCCACATGCAGACTTTAAATGATCACAAATATGTAATCATTAAGCTGTCATTTTTGTCGTGTTGTGTGACATTGTCAAGCTGTCCAGATGTCCAGGTGTTATGAGAAACGTGTTTAGCCAGAGTTCATTGCGCTTTTGATCCACAGTGTTTGGCGTTTGCTTGTGTTAATTATGTTAGCTATGAGTTCACACTTTTGACCAAAAGTTACTGAACCGATAAGCCTACGAGCATCTCTGAGGATTATCTTAGTTCTCAAACAAAAATGGCCACAAAGTTGCAAATTATATAGCCAGTGTTGGGAAAGTTTACTTATACATCAACTACTTCAAAGTGCAGTTCATCCTGACTTCCTGAGGGAGTTGAAATAGGCAACCCCAAAATGACACCTCCTTTTGAAGAGCAGATTTCATTTATTTTTCAATTAGACAGTAAAAGAGGCTCTCCCAGAAGTGTTCATGCAGACCAGAACAATCGATCGTCCAACTTATCGTGCCAATTGACTGATCACAGATAAACTGTGACTCTAAAACCATTTATATTTTATAGACATTAACTGATCACAGATAAACTCAGAATAACTCTAAAACTATATATTTATATTTTATAGACTTTTCTACATAACGTGTACACAGACTTATGCATTTTTAAAGTGCACAGACTTATTTTTAAAATACACATGTTCACTCTGTCACACATACGCACTGCAAATGGAGTATGTGTGAAACGGGCGTTACCTTATTTCTTTGATAAGTCAAGTCACATTTATTTATATAGCGCTTTTTACAATACAGATTGTATCAAAGCAGCTTCACAGTGACATGAAAATAATACAACACAGATCAATAACAATTTGATAATATTAAAGTTTTTCAGCACATGTAGTCAGAGTTACAGAAAATAATAATAGTGCAGCAAATAAGAAGATTATGTTTTATTTATTTTAATCAGGTTTGTTAATCTGTATAATGTTGGTTAATCTGCGCGATGACATGTATTTGGTTTAACAATGAAAATATTTGAAAAAAAAATTCTCAAAGGTCAGTCAGGAAGACAAAAATCGTACATGTCTGTGCAAACTTTGCCCGCCGTTAAAAATAGTTTCTGTCTGTGGTTGTATATGGGCTGTGGCAATAATAAAAAATAGCTCGCAGCAAGATATGGAAAAAAAACTAGTGCATTTTTGGAACTTGTGAACTTAGATAAAAATTGAGAAGTATGATCTATAAACTGAACTAGTTCATTTTTAAAATTGTGAACTGCACTTTGAAGTAGTTGATGAATAAGTGAACTTTCCCAACACTGGCTATACAGAGATGTGAATAAGTGTTGGCACCCATTCTAAAGTTGCCTAAAAAGAGGAATAAAAAATCATCTTTTGGATATTGATCTTAATGCCTTAATTAGAAAAATGAGGAAAACTCCAACCTTTAAGGACACCAATTTTCTTTGTGAATGAATAATGAATCATAAATAAATAAATGTTTTTCCTTAAAATACAGGGTGCATAAGTCAGGGTTAAATTCCCATAGAGTCAGGCAGATTTTTATTTTTAAAAGCCAGTTATTTCATGGATCCAGGATAATATGCATCCTGATAAAGTTCCCTTGACCTTTGGGATTAAAATATCCCCACATCATCACACACCTTCCACCATGCCTAGGGTGCTTTCCATAAGATCATCTTTCAATGCAAATCAAACCAGCTATTAGGCTAACTGAAGTAAAACCGTGCCAATCTCTAGGTGTGTGATGATGTGGGGATATTTTAATCCCAAAGGCCAAGGGAACTTTATCAGGATGCATATTATCCTGGATCCATGAAATAACTGGCTTTTAAAAATAAAAATGTATTTATTTATGATACATTATTCATTCACAAAGAATTGGTGTCCTTAAAGGTTGGAGTTTTCCTCATTTTTCTAATTAAGGCATTTAAGATCAATATCCAAAAGATGATTTTTATTCCTCTTTTTAGGCAACTTTAGCATGGGTGTCCAAACTTATTCACATCACTGTATAATATGCAACTTTGTGGCCATTTTTGTTTGAGAACTAAGATAATCCTCAGAGATGCTCGTAGGCTTATCGGTTCAGTAACTTTTGGTCAAAAGTGTGAACTCATAGCTCACATAATTAACACAAGCAAACGCCAAACACTGTGGATCAAAAGCGCAATGAACTCTGGCTAAACACGTTTCTCATAACACCTGGACATCTGCACAGCTTGACAATGTCACACAACACGACAACACATCGTAAAACTTACCAGACATACAGGAGCCTGACATCTATCATCGTAATCAGCAAATCACGATTAATTTTCCCAATGAACACCAATCAGACAACCAAACAATCAATATCCACTAAGTTTGAATAAATATGATAATATTATTATATTATATCATAATTTAAAAGCCTTCCTGATATAAATTAGTACAAATTTCATTTACTATATTTATTAACACTGAGACAGTAATGCAAAAAGCACTAATGACTTATTTAAGACTTGAAGCTTAAACTCGAGGACTTGCAACTTGACTTGGACTTGTCTGTCTTGACTCGGGACTTTAATGCAAAGACTCGAGACTTACTTGTGACTTGGTCTCACCACTGATCAGAACACTGCAGGCTACAGGTGGTCCAGGTAGACAGGAGAGAAAACGAAACCAAGGACGGCTGACAGTAACACCGGATCCTAGTCAGCTCACATCAGCAGGAATCTGGGCAAAGCACAAGTTTAGCAACAAACAGCCTGAGTCGACACATACCAGACAGGACAGGAAATCTTGCACGAATTTCTGATCAAATCAGCAAATTATATATAGCTTGAATGCGCCTTCCTTGGAACGGCAGAAAGTTTCTCAATGCCATAATGTATGTTTAAATTGTACGATGAGAAACTCCTGATATCAGCAAAGAAATCTTAATTTCAGTTCTAAATCGAGTGTAAGCCTTCTCTAAAGAAGAAATCTCAGATTAGCAGCATGTATAAATGGCACCAGAACAAATTAATCTGATTATGGGCGAAGAAATCCCCATTTTCTGCATTTTTGAAGGTGATTGAGCGATTCTCCTCAGTCACCAATTAAGGCCCTGTTATTCATTACATCATTGTATTTATATTAAACCACTGAACCACTCATATGAAACAATCCCGTCGAATTAGTGGTGTAAATTCTAGCCTAGCTAACTAGTAATTCGCCATTGTCTGTGAAGGGTCTGTGATGCTTTGATTTGTGAAATCACTTGCATGTAACGTCATGTTTCTAAGCTGGAGTTCTCAATGCAAACGTTCAGCTTGTTGGTTGGCATTGGTCTCGAAGTGCGAGCAAGCACTTCTGATAATCTGAAAACAGCACCACTTATGTAAATAAGTGATTGCGTGTAGCCAAAGTTAGCTCCCTATAGCAACCCTACACACATACAAGTTAAAGCCCTTTAACTCGACTGATAGCTTTTAGCGCCCGGCTAAAACCTAGACACGTGTGAGCGTAAAGTGTAACCTTTAAACCAAAGATTATAGACTTTGGGCCTTGGCATTTAACACAAAGGGATAATGATTTGAATTTGAACACGAGTAATGAGAGACAAAGCTCCTCGAGGAGTCAATTGTTTCACAAATGATTTATTGTTTTGAAGACCCCTGCTGGTCAGAACAGTGTAAGTGTAGAGAAAACTCAAACCAGTGAAACACCTTTTATAAACCAAACGCAAATGTTTTATCAAAGGTGTAATCATGTAATGGCAATCAACGAACCATCTAATACATTTTAATATGAGATGTCTTTCCAGGCACGATATCTTAATTAGCTCATTTTATGAAAGCTTGGTGAACCAGACCAATAAGACTATTAAATATGCCTCTTCCCTTTATCAAATGCGTCACTAAATGTGCACGAATCCATCCGAGATCACAAATCAGATACACACTGGCTCATGAAACGTAGCAACGAACCATTGAAATTTGAAATAATTTTGAAACAGCTACCCAGCAAACAAATTTAGGCTCTGGGAACGTTAGTTTTTGGTTCCCAGAACGTTCCTAGAACTTTCCTTTAAGGTTAAGGGAACGTTACCGGAACATTCTCCTTACGTTATAAAAATGGAACGTAAAAATAACCTAGATGGAACGTTCCTATAACGTTCTTGTTTGGTTCCCAAAACAATAACCTCATGGGACCATTCGGGAACGTTAGAGGAACGTTCTGTGTTTGCTGACGCGTAAACAAAGCCCCGTTCACTGGAATCACATGACTTTAGCAGTTTGATACACGCTCAGAATTACGGATTTGAGACAAATGATTCACTCTGGTTTGAGCATCTCGAAGCATGTCTCAAAGGCACCATCACTGGGTTCTCTCTCGAGTCGACCCCCTCCCTGTTATGAAAGGTAAGAGAGGACCCAAATGCAAAAATGCAAATAACAACATCTTTAATGAAACAAGGAAAATGTCTCCAGATAAGGGTACAAGTAGAAATCCTCTTCTCATAAAGATGATGAACAGAAAGAGCCGTCAATCTGGGCATAAAGGCAAATCGTGCCTTGTGTGATACAGCAGATACACCGAGGTCAGGCGGCGTCAAGCCTCGGGTTTCAGAGAGGTTAAGCTGGGTTCAGGCGCTGGCCGGCGTTCGGCAGCGGGAAACAGGACAGACTATGGAGATAGCGAATAATTCAACATACACAGAACATACCAGTACAGACCAGATCCAAGATTCAGACCAGACAGGAACACTGTGGGTAAAGAAGCAGAACTCGTTGCATTGATTCATCTAATAATCTCACTAAGGCCCTGTTTACACGAGAATGCTCGCGGGTGAACACGTAAAAATATGTGCCTTTCGTTTACACAGCGACGGCGTTTTTGAGGCTTAAAAACGCAAAAAAGTGAAACCACCCTCCAGAGTGGAAATCTTAAAAACGCTCCACCGCCGTGTTCCCGTGTAAACGGTAAAAACGCAAATGTCTGCTTGACAGCATAAACTGTAAAAAAAGATGGACGCTCCTTCGCTCTTTTCCATCAGAGAGAACTGAAGCCGCCAGTGTCTCGATATGACGCTGACATCTTGGATTTGAGTCTGCGCACTTGCGTGTTTCGGGACCAGTCATGCGCAGTCGTGAGCAGGAAGTAAAGCCGCGAAATCAAGGCCACGCCCTCATTCTCGCTGAATCAAACGCAAGCACACGCCCCGCACTTTCATCAAGTGTCCTCTGTCTGCTTCGTTCTTCTCCAATGATGTCTGCTGATTGCAGAACCTCGTTAAAATAAGGTAACTACTAACCACATAATCAACATTATTAAAAAAAGTCCGCTGGTGCTTCAGTGACTACCTCGCACAGAGAACCTGTCAATCATGATGTCAGAGCACTGTTTTTATCATCACATAACTAACTAAAAACAAACTTATTTTAAAAACGAACACTTGAAATTACATCAACGTGATAGAAACTACAGTAAATGACAGAAACTATCTTTGGAAAAAGGATATGTGAAGTGTAATTTAATTGTTTAGTTGGTCTCGCGTCTCATTGAATAACATGGGGAGGCGGGGGTTATGAGCTATACTAGGACCGGCCACTGGGGGGCGATCGAGACGTTTTGGCTTCACTTTTGAGGGCTTGTGCGGCACGCTTGCTTGACAGTGAAGGTTGTACGCAGGCGCGTGGACTTGGTGTTGTTGTAGTATGCACTCCTAGCCGCCTGGAGTGCATACTACATTGAATTTCGCACACTTTTGCGTCACTGTTTGCAAGCGGATTTCTATGGAAGCTTGTTTCCGCCACTGAATAAAAAAATAAAGTAAATAATTGCGACTTTTTATCTCACAATTCTGACTTTTCTCACAATTGCGAGATAAAAAGTCCGAATTGCGTGATATAAAGTCGCAATTGCGAGTTATAAAGTCAGAATTACGTGATATAAAGTCAGAATTGCGAGATATAAAGTCAGAATTGCGAGATATAAAGTCAGAATTGCGAGATATAAAGTCAGAATTGCGAGATATAAAGTCGCAATTGCGTGTTATAAAGTCAGAAATGTGAGATTTAAACTATTCTGAGGGGGAAAAAAGTTAGTCTTTTTTTCCCCTTAGAATTGGCCTAATAAGTCGCAATTGCGAGTTTATATCTCACAATTCTGAGAAAAGATGTCAGAATTTCGACATATAAACTCGCAATTCTGACTTTATATCACGCAATTCTGACTTTATATCTCGCAATTCTGACTTTACAACTCGCAATTGCGACTTTATATCACGCAATTCTGAGAAATAAAGTCAGAATTGTGAGATATAAACTCACAATTGTGAGAAAAAAAGTCAGAATTGTGAGATAAAAAGTCACAATTATTTATTATATTTTTTTATTCAGTGGCGGAAACAAGCTTCCATAGGATTTCCCACACAAAACGCTTGTCTAAACGCAGAATTAAAAGTGATGAAAGTGACGCCACTTTTGTGTTTTCTCTTCAGAATCGTTTCCGTGTAAACATAGCCTAAAAAACAGGAAAAGAGAAAGCTAGTAGCAAACACAATCAGAAGGGAAGAGAGAACAGCTGTGGGAGAATTAGCACGATTGCTGTTAGAAACAGGAACAGCTGAAGTGAGTGATGGTGTGTGTGGTTATGTGTGTGTGTGTGAGAGTGAGAGTGAGAGTGTGGCCGGAAGAGGGAGAAAGAGGAAGAGGAAGAGGAAGATGCCAGATTCAGAACACTTCTTCTTGGTTTCACTTTCTGGTGAAATCCCTATTATTAGGTTTTTATTTGTGTTTCTTTTATTTCGACTTTTATCTCATTTTGTGTATTTAATCCTGTTGAGCCTGAATTTTCCTATTCAGTTAAGTTGGAATTTTATTAAACCAATTTGCTTATTCAATTTTCCTTTTAGTTACCAGTTATGAGGACATTCCACGTTTACTCTGTATTTTATTTCATTTTATTTATTTACTTTTGTTTCAGCCTGAATGGTCCTATTCAGCTAAATTGAGTTGAAATAAATCTGAAATGTAATTAAATCAATTTGTGTTTCCCTTTCCTTTTATTTTTCTAGGGCTATAAGGACACTCTACATTTACCTTTACCTCACTGTAAAAAATATTTTCAAGATTTGTTATCACAACATATTTTCTTTTGTCAAATCAACTTTATTATAATTTATTTAGTTGAGATAACTTATTATTTTGAGTTTCTGATGGTTAAATTAATCTCCTTCATTGTATTAACTCACTTTTTCCAGTTCAATCAACTTAAAATTTTAAGGCAACCAGGTTACTTACTTTTTTAAGTTAAACCAACAATATTTTTACAGTGTAGTAATCACATTTTTTCTTTTGTCAAATCAACTTAAATAATTTATTTAGTTGAGATAACTTATTATTTTGAGTTTCTGATGGTTAAATTTATCTACTTCATTGTATTAACTCACTTTTTCCAGTTCAATCAACTTAAAATTTTAAGGCAACCAGGTTACTTACTTTTTTAAGTTAAACCAACAATAATTTTTACAGTGTATCAACATCTTCCCTCTCTCTATAGGATTACAGTAGCCTGTCGCGTGGACTGAAAATGGTAAAATGCGCTTTCCGTGTCATGCATGGCCTATACATTTATGGGATGTCAAGGGGAAAGTGGGAGTGTCACATAAAGAGATGGGAGGGGAAGCGTAAACTGCGACTAATTATGTACTCTGTGTTATGTACAGAAAAAGCCAGTGAAAGCGCACCTCTATTTTACGCTGAAGATTCTCCGCCTCTTAAAAGCAGGCGTAACTTAGGAAAAGCGGGTTTATGGCGTACGCCTCCTAGTGGCAGCAGGTCTAACATACACATTCTCAACATGGCTCAACAAAACTCACTCATACACAAACACAAATTATGCATTAAATGAGCCTATGACAGAGCTGTTTTTTTATTTTATTTTATTTATTTTTTTACAAATAAAAACTCAATCACTCATAAAAAGACAAACAATTATGAACCAATGCATGTTTTTGGTATCCAATCATCAGACTCTGCACATGACCTACTACTTTGTCTTTTCCTTATAGCAAGGTCATATTTATCTTAGCATATTTTGGTATGTTTGTATAGTCTCACTTAACACAGATATATATTTTTTAATTACAATTTCAACTTGTGGTAGAAAAAAAACTTGAGAGGTCAAATTTATTTTATACAGTGGTTCATAGAGTTCAGCCAATATGCAGCCCTTGAGCACTATAGCCATCTAGTGGCTATTGATATTATTATTTTTCTTAATTTAAAGGGTTAGTTCACCCAAAAATGAAAATTCTGTCAGTATTTACTCACCCTCATGTTGTTCCAACCCCGTAAGACCTTCGTTCATCTTCGGAAAACGAATTAAGATATTTAAGATATTAAAATCGCTCCTGCATACAGTCCATAGGCTTCCTGAGGGACTGGCTCTTGCCGTCCCCGAAAAGTCATAAAAGACATCGTTAAAATAGTCCAAGTGACTACAGGGGCTCAATCTTAAGTTTATCAAACGACGAGAACACTTTTGTGCGCAAAAAAACAACAAAAATAACGACTTTATTTCAACTATTCGTTTATTTCTCCCTCTGCGCGAGTCAGCTAACTAGTTTAATAGCGTAAGCTTCTGTTATTGTACGTCACACGCATCACACACACATGACCAGCGTCGACCAATAGTGAGCCTACGTGTGACGTAGCTCTACGCAATCACACTACGTTAACGGACTATAGGCTTATGAAGAAGGAAGTGAATAGTTGAAATAAAGTCGTTATTTTTGTTGTTTTTTTGCGCACAAAAGTGTTCTCGTCGTTTGATAAACTTAAGATTGAGCCCCTGTAGTCACTTGGACTATTTTAACGATGTCTTTTATGACTTTTCGGGGACGGCAAGAGCCAGTCCCTCAGGAAGCCTATGGACTGTATGCAGGAGCGATTTTAATATCTTAAATATCTTAATTCGTTTTCCGAAGATGAACGAAGGTCTTACGGGGTTGGAACAACATGAGGGTGAGTAAATACTGACAGAATTTTCATTTTTGGGTGAACTAACCCTTTAATACCAACATAAGACACCAGATGCCAGCAAAGATCGTTAGGTTTTAACTCTCGGAACTTTGTGGAATTTTCAATGTAGTTAAAGAAATATTAAATATACATAAAAAAGTATTATTTACATAGAAAACGTGGTACTTTTAGAGGTAAATAAATCACCCCCAAAATAAAAAACCCCACCATGTATGGATAGTATACATTTTATCGAAGACAGTGATATAACATTTATAATAAATAAAAAATTGGACCACATCTGAGACCTCTGTGCCCACATTTGCTAAGACACAAGCTAATAATATTATATATATCTAAGGATTTAGGCAAAAGTCAGTAATCGTCTCGGGCCCCGATAGAGGCTCCCAAAATTACCCATTAACTTATGCTTATGTTTTTGTTTTGTTTTCCTTTATGCAAATCATATATTTCTAAAAAACTCAAAGAGTTTACATTATAATGTGTTACTAGAGGAACTATTGACAGTCTCTCAAGTTCATTAAGAAAATTATACACTTTATATTCACTTGTATTCACGATTCACTTCTGCAGAATATTACGAGATTGAAAAATATTAATAATTTAAACAAATTTACACAGCAAAAAGAAAATAGCTGTGTATGAAAGGTCATAGAGAGAATATAGAGAGAATTAAATATTACTTTATAAATGTATTCATTTAAACTGTGCATATAATAATTGATCAAATAAAATTGTACATGTGTGATCGATTAAGGGTACGTCTAAGACATATATAGGTCATAAAAATTGTTATTCTAAATAATCATTAGTAAAGGCCAGACTATTTTGTCTTTAAAAAACATTTGCTATGTAGAGACCTTTAATTTGGAGTAGAAACAGGTGACTTCGCTCACAGCTGATTGGTCCATGTTTGGTTTGCGACCTCTACCTGGAACACCTGCCCCGGACCAGTTAGCCGTGGAGCGTACAATTCTTTGTATATTTTTTACGTCCTTGAAATGGTCTATATTAAAAGGTTTTGAAGATGGAAGATGGACTTGTGAAGATGGAACGAAAGCACACAACAACTAATCAGGTTAATTTGATTTTATGCTGACTGTAACTTACGGCTAGCTTCATCTACACTGATAATAGGAGATTAAATAAATAATATCAATTACATTTAAATTGTATGCCAGTTTTTTTACTTTATATTTATTCACTGAGGTACAGTTGAAATTTAGACTTTTATTTTGAAGCGTGGCGTGTGCGCGCATCCGGAAGTGTTTCTGTGTGTTTCTGATGACGGTGGCTTGCACTCTTCATTCGTCTTGGAAACAGAAATGAAGACAGACGTCTTGAACAGAAGATAGCTGATCGATTCTTCTTATTATTATTATCATCATTACTGTGCAACCGACAGAAACCAATCATGGCGAACGGTAAGTGAGCAGCTCCAACGAGCTGTCATGTTAGTTTAAGAGACTAAACGATCATAACAACAACCTGTAACATCATGCGTGTACTGTATTATATGAGGTGTCGGTTTATAAAGAGGCGTGTGGTTATTGGTGCTGGTGTGTGCCTCGAGTCAGTGATGCTGATGCTGTGTGTGTGTCTCAGAGTCCGTGAGTGTGATCTTCAAGATCTACTGCCTGTCTGTCATGACCCTGATCGCTGCCACATACACGGTGGCCCTCAGGTACACCCGCACCGTGTCCTCGGACCTGTACTTCTCCACCACCGCGGTCTGCGTCACTGAGGTCATCAAGCTGCTGCTGAGTCTAATGATGCTGGTCAGGTGTGTGTGTCTGATACAGGTCCTGTCTCCTCATGTGATGTCTGATCTGAATGCTGGTCAGGCGTGTGAGTCTGATACTGGTCCTGTCTCTCCTCATGTGATGTGTGATCTGATGTGATGCTGTGTGTCGCAGGGAGACGGGGGACCTGGGCCGCTGCAGGACCGCTGTGGTCACACACATCTTCAGAAGCCCCAAGGAGCTGCTGAAGCTGAGCGTGCCGTCGGTGGTGTATGCCATCCAGAACAACATGGCCTTCGTGGCCTTGAGCAACCTGGACGCCGCGGTCTACCAGGTATGATGAACATTTGAAGAAATACAGATTCTGTTATCATGAACTCGCTGTCGTTTACAAACCCTCTTTTAGATTGGAACTCATATGTTTATATCACATCAGCAGTCCGAGCGACTGTAAGTCTGCCATCGCATTTCTTCTAAAGTGTTTGAAAACTCAGAAGCGAAGATCAGGAGACTCGTGTTTCTCTCTAAGCAGGATTCTTTATTGCTGTAGTCTGCTTCGTCCAAAAATCTTAGCCAAGTCTGACTAAAGGCAAAATACCTTGTAGTTTATACATTTCAAGGGGGAGAAACTGAAGCAAAGCATTTAAATGAGGTAAACCGGTACAGCATGAGAACAGGACGGACTTATAAACACGAGGTGATGCTATCAATTTAGCTTGCAATAGAAAGATCAGGACAGGTTTGTGACATTTACCTTAGTTAAAAAAAAATGCACACTAATACATTTCTATATATTATAGTGTGTATTTAAATAAATGTGTAATCCTACAACACTAACATGTGTGCTCACCAGCCACTGTGGCTACTAGTTTTCCAAAGCTTTCACTGGCCACAGTTTTGACATTGATACTGCCATATAGATATTTGTAACATTATCTCATAATTTATTAGGCTGCTGTCACTTTAAGACCTGACGCACGGATCCGGATCCATTACACTGTTACACATGCGTTTCCTTCCTCAGCTGTTTACGTTCACTTACGACAGAAATGACTGTGTTTCGTGAATTCTCGCTAATACTGACATTTTTACGTTATTTTGTGTATTAGACTGTGTGCCTGTGCGTTCACACCGGACGCAAGTCAGTCCCTCCAGGATTTCACGATTTTTTTGTGTGATTTTTGCGATCAAAATGACTGATTTTGTGGTGGTAATTTCCAAAAATTTGTGAAAAAATTTGCGATTTATATATAACATTTACCATAATAGTATTTAGTTCTTCCAGAAAAACGCAGAGTTTTTTTGTGATTGTTGTGGGCAAAAAATTGATTGATTATGCGGCCCGTTTTCTTTAAAAATGCAATGGAATATGCGGGATTTTTATGCGATGAAATTGCAGGAATTTGCAAAAATTGAGGGAACTTGCAAAAATTGCGGTTTGATGAAAAAGAGAAAAAAAAGTGATTCCCCCAACATCCTGTTCTCACTAGGCTAATGTAAGAGTCATTTCTTATTACTTCCTTTGATAAGCAAGCATACATCATCATAGAAAGTGCTGGGAATATTTAATTTCTCATCTTGTTTTATTTCAGACTGTAACGAGTGTAAATAAGGTGTGGCCCCTTTAAGAGCTGAGCGCTCCCTGTTGAACTCTCTGCAGTGTTATGTGTGCGCCTCGAACGCCCCATGTGTGCGGGTAATTTCTGTTTGATGCTACTTCTTTTATCTTATGTTGTTTATTAAGTAACGATGTGACGGTAGAACGTGTGACAGACAGTTATACGAGTTCGATTTGTGTCAATCGCCTCCGTTTAGTCTGTCTGGCGTCGCGTAATTGCGTCACTTCATAACGTTCCCATGGAAACAGGGGGAAACGGCTGCTCTTGTGTGAAGCAAACGCAACATTTTTCAACTTTCTGCTAAGATACATGTGACTTTTTTTGCAACGAAAATGCGAGGATTATGAAATTATGCAAACCCCGCATATTTTGCACGGAAATCGGCAATTTATGCGGCGAAAGTGCGGCGTATTTGAAAAAATGCGGCCCCCGCATAAATATGCGGACTTTGGCTGATTTTGCATTGAATTCAGCGATCGCATAATCGCGTTTTTCTGGAGGGACTGGCAAGTAGAGCGTCAAATTCGCGCCTACCGTGTCTATTTATACACTTGAACACTTTGGATCCAAGAGCGAAATTGACACGTGTAAAAGCAAAATTTACACGCGTCTGAATCGAAACCCGTTGGCGGCCATCTTTTTTTATTTTGTTCGAGCGTTCATCGAGAGAGTCACCGCTCTGTATTTACCTTATCTGATATACACACACTTTGGGTTTGAGCACAAAATCTGAGGGAATAAGTAAAATTATGTGCAATACACTCAATCCCACGCCGACACTATTCCGTGAGTGAGTGAGTAGAGGCGGGTTTGTGTGTAACTCGCTGTTCAGAGTGTGTGTAGTTCTCTCAGCTCCGCTTGCTTTCGTATCATCGTGAACGACTGCTCATGTCCAAATAAAACAACACGTCATATGAACTCCTGTCCGACCTGTTCTTCTCGTTCAATATCATGTTTGACTGTGTGTCAGGTGACGTACCAGCTGAAGATCCCCTGCACGGCGCTGTGTATGGTGCTGATGCTGAGCCGCTCTCTGAGCCGTCTGCAGTGGTTCTCCGTCTTCATGCTGTGTGGAGGCGTCACGCTGGTGCAGTGGACCCCGCCGCACTCCACCAAAGTCCAGGTACACACACTGATGATTCACACGCTGCACAATTACGGACGTGTGTGCCCTCTCGAGTCGTAAAACTACTGGGAAACTCAGAGATAACTTCCACACGATTCCTAAGACGGACGGGCCGATTGTTTACTAGTTTTCCACGAGAGCTACAACACCCAGTCCTGATGTCACACTAGTGCATTATACGTATACGTATCATTAGGGTTGGGTATCGTTTGAATTTGAACGATTCTGATTCCGATTCCTTGTTTCGATTCTGGTTCCTAACGATTCTCGATTCCGATTCTTTTAAGAGGCAGGGTCAAAAAAGTTTAGCTAACCTTGCTAACCAACGGCCTTTCTGAAGGAAATAATCGTTTCTGAAGGAAATACTCCTTTTGTCACAAATTTTGCATTTTGCCGAGATTTCGTTATTTTTAGAAAAGTGAAGCCACACTTTGGACCGCCGACGTAAGCTACTCATGTTCGACTCGCGTGGTTATGCCAACACTTCCGGTAGACGCTTCTTCATTGGTGTTGTTCAGCGGTTTCTTCTTCCGCTCGGCGGACTGTGAATATCGAAACTAGGAATCGAAATTTTAACTTTTGAACGATTCCGGGAAAAGCGAAAAGTTAGTCTCGGTTCCAATCGATACTCGATACCCAACCCTACGCATCATATACGTCCGTTACCATAAGCCAGTGATTATAGAATATAAAGTTATTGATATTTTTCTTCATTATCCTCCTGAAGGCGTATGGATTACTATTATGATGGACAGATGCACTTTTATGAGCTTCATAGTCCATTCACTCCCATTATAAAACTGGGAAGAGCCAGATATTTTTGTAATATAACTCTGATGGGGTTCGTCTGAAAGAAGAAAGTCAAACACACCTAGGATGTCTTGAGGGAGAGTAAATCTCATTTTTAAGGGAAATGACCCATTAATGTGTGTCTGCTTCAGGTGGAGCAGAACCCGCTTCTGGGCTTCATGGCGATCGCCGTCGCGGTCCTCTGCTCCGGGTTTGCAGGTATCATGTGTTCTCTCATGTTAGTGATGGCTTCTTGCTTTAGGAAACATTAGTGACTCTCTGTTTTGGCCCAGGTGTGTACTTTGAGAAGGTCCTGAAGAGTTCGGACACCTCTCTGTGGGTGCGAAACATCCAGATGTACCTGTCAGGAATCGCGGTGACCCTCATCGGGGTCTACGTGACAGACGGCGCCCAGGTCTTGGAGAAAGGCTTCTTCTACGGATACACACCTTGGGTCTGCTTAGTCATCTGTGAGTGACGTCGCGTGACCTTTATCTCTGAATGCCCTGCCCTGAAATATACAAACTCTTGAATGGCATTGATGAAGTGGTCCGACTGGTTTCTCCTGTGATTTCTGTTTGCAGTTTTGTCGAGTGTGGGAGGAATGTACACGTCTGTGGTGGTGAAATACACGGATAACATCATGAAGGGCTTTTCTGCAGCGGCTGCGATCGTGCTGTCCACCGTGGCGTCCGTCCTTCTCTTCGGCCTGCAGATCAGTGAGTGCTCGTCTCCTCTTCTCATCAGTAGGCCTGAAACACACACGACTGTGATGCTACATCTCAATTCCTCAACTCTGTCCTACATCTCTATTCCTCATCTCTATTCCACATCTCTATTCCTCAACTCTGTCCTACATATCTGTCCTTATCTCTATTCCTCATCTCTATTCCTCAACTCTATTCCTCAACTCTGTCCCACATCTCTATTCCTCATCTCTATTCCACATCTCTATTCCTCAACTCTGTCCTACATATCTGTCCTTATCTCTATTCCTCATCTCTATTCCACATCTCTATTCCACAACTCTGTCCTACATATCTGTCCTCATCTCTATTGCTCATCTCTATTCCACAACTCTGTCCTACATATCTGTCCTCATCTCTATTCCACAACTCTGTCCTACATATCTGTCCTCATCTCTATTCCACATCTCTATTCCTCAACTCTTTCCTACATATCTGTCCTCATCTCTATTCCACATCTCTATTCCACAACTCTTTCCTACATATCTGTCCTCATCTCTATTCCACATCTCTATTCCACATCTCTATTCCTCATCTCTATTCCACATCTCTATTCCTCAACTCTGTCCTACATATCTGTCCTCATCTCTATTCCACATCTCTATTCCTCAACTCTGTCCTACATATCTGTCCTCATCTCTATTCCACATCTCTATTCCTCAACTCTTTCCTACATATCTGTCCTCATCTCTATTGCTCATCTCTATTCCACAACTCTGTCCTACATATCTGTCCTCATCTCTAGTCCACATCTCTATTCCTCAACTCTGTCCTACATATCTGTCCTCATCTCTATTCCACATCTCTATTCCTCAACTCTTTCCTACATACCTGTCCTCATCTCTATTCCACATCTCTATTCCTCAACTCTGTCCTACATATCTGTCCTCATCTCTATTCCACAACTCTGTCCTCATCTCTATTCCACATCTCTATTCCTCAACTCTTTCCTACATATCTGTCCTCATCTCTATTGCTCATCTCTATTCCTCAACTCTGTCCTACATATCTGTCCTCATCTCTATTCCTCAACTCTTTCCTACATATCTGTCCTCATCTCTATTCCACATCTCTATTCCTCAACTCTGTCCTACATATCTGTCCTCATCTCTATTCCACATCTCTATTCCACAACTCTGTCCTACATATCTGTCCTCATCTCTATTCCTCATCTCTATTCCTCAACTCTATTCCTCAACTCTGTCCTACATATCTGTCCTCATCTCTATTCCTCATCTCTATTCCTCATCTCTATTCCTCAACTCTTTCCTACATATCGGTCCTCATCTCTATTGCTCATCTCTATTCCACAACTCTGTCCTACATATCTGTCCTCATCTCTATTGCTCATCTCTATTCCACAACTCTGTCCTCATCTCTATTGCTCATCTCTATTCCTCAACTCTTTCCTACATATCTGTTCTCATCTCTATTCCACATCTCTATTCCACAACTCTGTCCTCATCTCTATTCCACATCTCTATTCCTCAACTCTTTCCTACATATCTGTCCTCATCTCTATTGCTCATCTCTATTCCACAACTCTGTCCTACATATCTGTCCTCATCTCTATTCCACATCTCTATTCCTCAACTCTGTCCTACATATATGTCCTCATCTCTATTCCACATCTCTATTCCACAACTCTGTCCTACATATCTGTCCTCATCTCTATTCCACATCTCTATTCCTCAACTCTTTCCTACATATCTGTCCTCATCTCTATTGCTCATCTCTATTCCACAACTCTGTCCTACATGTCCTCATCTCTATTGCTCATCTCTATTCCTCAACTCTGTCCTACATATCTGTCCTCATCTCTATTCCTCAACTCTTTCCTACATATCTGTCCTCATCTCTATTCCACATCTCTATTCCACATCTCTATTCCTCAACTCTGTCCTACATATCTGTCCTCATCTCTATTCCACATCTCTATTCCACAACTCTGTCCTACATATCTGTCCTCATCTCTATTGCTCATCTCTATTCCACAAATCTGTCCTACATATCTGTCCTCATCTCTATTCCTCAACTCTTTCCTACATATCTGTCCTCATCTCTATTCCTCAACTCTTTCCTACATATCTGTCCTCATCTCTATTCCACAACTCTATTCCACATCTCTATTCCACAATCTATTCCTCAACTCTGTCCTACATATCTGTCCTCATCTCTATTCCACAACTCTATTCCACATCTCTATTCCTCATCTCTATTCCACATCTCTATTGCTCATCTCTATTCCACATCTCTGCCCTACGTATCTATTCTACATCTCTATCTTAACCCTTTAACCCCTCCGTGCTTCTCAAAATCACCCTGTCAAGCAAGATAAATAGTGCATGCTTAATTAACGATAAGTGTGTGATTAATTGTGACTAAGAATATGACTCTATCAACAGCCGTAGTTGAAATGAACAGGACCTGAGATGAATGAACACTGTAGAAATATTGTTCATGTCGATATAAACTCCTCTATTGTGAAGTGTGGTTTAGAGGAGCATGGTTTCGCTCATTCACTCTCTGGTCTTTGCAGCGACTACGTTCATCTTGGGAGCCGCGCTGGTGTGTGTGTCCATCTACATGTACGGACTGCCCAAACAAGACACCAGCAAACTGCCGAAGCCCAGCACAGCCCGAGAGGACACGGAGAAACTCATCGCCGTCTGACACGGATCCACCCGTGACTCGCTGTTCACTGAGCCGAGCAACACTACATCAGCAGGAGGAGCGGTTCATCCGTCTGTGCTGCGGATGATGATGATGATGATGATGAAGGAGGGGTTTATGGGGGAGAATGTGGGGTTTGTCTATCTATATAAAATCATTTGTACTATGGGACTTGATGCAGAGGGTGAGGCGCTGAGGCACTGCTGCACGGAACGAACACTGATGCCGAACTGCATGCTGGACAGGTTTTTTCTTCAGGATGTTTGTTTAGGTTTCCAGTGTCATTTGCTGAAGGATTCTTAAATGTTTACGTAAGCTGAGCGTGAAGAGGCTCCCGACAGGTCTGGATCGCCGGCTCGCTTTAATCATCGGTGAAAGATACGCCTCGTAATCCAGGACAATCGCTGTACGTGTGTGTGTGTGTGTGTGAGTGAGGCGGCTCTGATGGACGTGTCTGAAGTCCAGCTCTCATATAGTGTGTGTTTACATGTGCATTGCATTTATTTACAACTAAACTGCATTTAGAAACCGAGAAAGCAAAAATTGGCGTTTATGCCTTGATGATGCATTCTGGGGGTTTTAAAAAGTCGCCCTTACACAAATTAAGCTCTGAAAAATTGAAATATCTAAACATTTTTGATACTTTTACTGGAGATGCAAATCTTCCCATTGGATTAAGATGATTTTTCTGAGTCCACTGGCAGATCTCTCTTCTTGTTTTAATCATAAACTCACTTAATTTTGATCTATTTCAAAGAAAACAAGGTTTCATATTTTATGCCAGTTTGTACCTGTAATAAATGCATCTTGATTTAAGAATACACTTGTACTGGAAACCAGGACAGAAATGCTGATGAAGAGCGTCCGGTCTGTGCAGTGTGATCAGAAGGAACAGTCAAGTATATTTATATGTTTGGGAGATTAGTGATTAATTTTTTTTTTATTATTATTATTTGTTTCATTTGTAAAAAAAAAATGAATTGAAGTAATATCATGAATATCAGTTGTATTTTTAAACGCTGAAGTGTTGCTAATACACCTTGTGTTTCTCTAGACGTACTTTCAGAGAACGTATTGAAGTATTGTGTTCCCATCAATTTACTCCTAAATGTCTGAAAATCTCTCATGTCCTCCAGTGAACATCACAGCACTGCACAAGTTCATTTTAATTCTGATGAATGCTTCACATGGCTCAACACATGATGTAATAGCCCAGATGAAGGATTGATCATTGATTATTCGTTTGCTCGTCACCGTGGGTCTTCATTTCTATTAGGTGAAGGTCGCGTCCCTACGGATCAGGATTACGTACTTTTCCAGACTCAGAAAATATTTTACATGATTCATACAGCATTATTTGGTATATAGTGCAGTCATCTGTAAATACAATGTCCTGTTTGTTTTTCTCACTGGTTTTCTGTGATAACATGAACGAGGAGGAACATAAGACACTAACACCAGCATATATTCATCCGCTCGATGCGGTTGCCGTCAGAAAGGTAAAGCCTGATTTAGATCTGTCGCAGGTTTGAGTGGCATTTAAAGGATTAGTTCACTTTTGAAAAAACTTTTGCTGATAATTTACTCACCCCCGTGTCATCCAAGATGTCCATGTCTTTCTTTCCTCAGTCGAAAAGATATTTAGGTTTTTGATGAAAACATTCCAGGATTTTTCTCCATATAATGGACTTCAATGGGAACCGGATGGTTCAGGGTCCAAAAGACAGTTAATATCAGTTTCAGATGCAGCTTCAAATGTCTTTAAACGACACCAGACGATGAATAAGGGTCTTATCATGCGAAACGATCGGTTATTTCAAAACTTATTCCAAAAATGTAACTTTTCTAAGGACAAATGCTAGCCTTGCTCTATTCTGTGAGGCGCGTTTGTAACGTCACGTAATACGTAATTACGTTCAAAAGGTCACGGGCGACGTGGCCGGAAGTACAGAATCAAAATCGTCCGACATCGTTGTTTTACCTTTTAAATCCTTTTTTGTAAACGGCGTTTGAGTTAGTTTTCACGTTCAACCTATGCGTTCAACTTGTAAACACTCTGGCTCTGTAGTTCTGGCTACGTCGCCCGTGACCTTTTGAACGTAATTACGTAATACGTGACGTTACAAACGCGCCTCACAGAATGGAGAAAGGCTAGCATTTGTCCTTAGAAAAGTTACATTTTTGGAATAAGCTTTGAAATAACCGATCGTTTCGCATGATAAGACCCTTATTCATCGTCTGGTGTCGTTTAAAGACATTTGAAGCTGCATCTGAAACTGTTATTAACACTATCTTTCGGACCTTGAACCATCCGGTTCCCATTGAAGTCCATTATATGGAGAAAAATCCTGGAATGTTTTCATCAAAAACCTAAATATCTTTTCGACTGAGGAAAAAAAGACATGGGGGTGAGTAAATTATCAGCAAAAGTTTTTTCAAAAGTGAACTAATCCTTTAATTTCCGTTTAGCATTATGAAGATGTGTCATGTTGGACAATTACTCAAGGACCACTTTTGGCATGAAATCATAGTGAGGAAACAAATATTGTTCCATACTAATCCAGACCTGGAAATTACTCCAATAAAGTTCGATTCAGACACTTCTGCGTTAAACGGATCCGACACTACAGACCCAGACGTGTCCTGTTCTGAGGAGCTTGTGCCCCGTCATTACACAGTGATGTAACTTTTCAGATTTTGATTAAGGATTACTAAGGTAAAACATTTTTTTAATATATATTCACTTGCACGCCTGCACGGATTAATTGTTCACCACAAGACTAAGAATATGCGCTAACAAAGTAAATAGGTTAAATTTTGATTTCACGGGGACTTTAAGATGGTCAATAAATGCATTAAACATGTTCTGTGTTAACCAAGAAATGAACAAATATTGAAGAAAAATCCTTTTATTACAGTACGTCACATTTTGTCGACTGGTGTAATACCCAGAATCCTCATGCCACTGGCCAGCGCTGAGCGGGCGGAGCTGAACAGACACAGGCGGGCCTGAGGAAACACACACTGTAAGCGTCGGTCCAGATGCTGAACAGTCTCTGATAGTGTGTGTGTGTGTGTGTGTGTTTACCTGGGCCGTCGCTTCTGGACTTCCCTTCACGGGCAGCTCTCGATGAGCCGACGCCACCAGGTGACTGAAAACACAGTAAACCTCATCAGAGCAAACAATGACGGACCAGAAACCCAGTAACGCCAGCAGAACTAACTTACACACTCGTTTGATTGTAATCTGACCACAAGAATCATCATCTGTATCTAAGACTAGTATGGCAAACCCCTGTATGGTGTGGTTTTTGGCGTATACCGAACGACACAGTGGCGTTACCATAGAAACCAACAGCTGCGATACATGAGTGTGGACAATCATTTTACATTCCAATCCAATCAGATGCACAAATAATCTGATTTGGACTGATGGTGTGAGCGTAGCCTTTACATGATGTCCTGTTTTTCCCTCTGTGTATTTCATGCGAGTATCAGAGATGTATAGTAACGAAGTACAACTACTTAAGTACTGTACTTACAGTTTTTTCCAGTTGCTAACACACTAAAATGACATGCACGGCACAATTCTTTAAACGGACACACAGAGAGCAAAACTTCTTCTCAAGTTTCCAAAAGTCTAAACACATTTTCTGCTTTACACACATTTTGCATTTCAAAATGCCACTTTTTAAATGCACTGAGCACAGTTCTCTGCATAAAACACAACAATCTGACATAGTCACATGTTTGCCATTTCAAAACACTACCATTTAAAATGACACTACATGAGGTAATTGACCTTTACATGTGCCATCTGGCCAAACACCTCAATGGTTAATTGTTAACTCTTAAATCAGGATGTAAGCACTATAAAAACTATAAAAACAAATATTTTTCTTGCCACTTTTTTTTACTGTAATATATTTTCTGGAAGTTTCTTTTTCAGTTTACTGTTTTTTGTAAGTAATTTTTTTTCAGTCATGTAAATATTTCTGTTGTGCATACGTTACACTGACTTGTTTACAGTAGTGAAAAAATACATTACTGTAAAATGAAGTTTCAACAGCATGTGTGTGTCTGCAAATATTTCTGTGCATGTGAACAATCGGATACATATTTTACAGTAGTATTATGGCAAAGCATACTAAAGATATGAGTGCTTTTCATTATGCCCAACAGTGTGTAGTTGTTTAGGCAAAAATCTATGAATGAAGTGTGTGCCATTTCATGCAAAAGTCTAATTTTGATAATACTGTGTGTAGTTTCGGCTTCATTTTGCAGGATATATGAGGTATTTTGCAGTTTGGGTGTGTAGTTTTGTGAATTGTGTTAAGTATTTTGATAAAACCAAATTGTGTGTTAGCAATTGAAAAAAACTGTAAGTACTAAAATGCTGTATCTGTACTCTACTAGAGTATTGTGTTTTTCTCATACTTCTACTTTTACTTCAGTAGATATTTTCGATGAATTTAATACTTTTACTTCGATATTTTTTTAATGTTCTGCTAGTTACTCGTTACAATTATAAAAAATTTTACGAATCATTCGTTGCGAGTTGGCTTTCATGCAATGGCCGCCAAAGCGCCTTATTTGATTGCTAGTTCAAACTTTTGACTGCTTTCTTTAATAATTGCATGACACAATACTTGTACTTTTAATTTTAGTACTTAAGTAGTGAATTTTTAAATAAACTACTTGCATTACTTAAGTACAACAAATGTTGAATACTTTAGTATTTCTACTCAAGTCACTTTTTTGATAGAGCACTTGTACTTTTACTCAAGTCCGGGTTTCTAGAACTTTATGCATCTCTGGCGAGTATTGATTTTAGAAACGCCCGATCGCCAGTGTCGAACTGACCACTAGTCTTCACGAGGTCACGTCCTGCTCAAGCACCAAAGTAAGAGCTAATTATGTGTTTCATCTGTATTTGATAGGAAGTCTAGTCTCAAAATTGATTAGCGCATGAAAAAAAAGTGTAGCGTAATGTTTTTCTGATCTTTCATGTTAGGCTCTTAATAGATGTGTGTATACTGTATAACATATAATATGTGATGCATTAAAAAAGCAACCCGCCGAGAGAGGGAGGGCACACACACACACACGCCACGGCCCGACACGCCCAATCCCCTCTGCGCGTGACAGATGATTGACAGGGCGATTATAGTGTGTAAGTTTGTCCCAAACCCAGCTTACCCTTCTGCTACACACTCAAATGCGTTTACTCAGCTGGGGTGATCGTGTGTACCTGAGGGTCATGAGGAAGTTGACCAGGTGTCGGGGCTGCAGGTCGTTCACCGACTGAAGAAGCACTTCATCATATCTGAAAACAGGCCAGTCACACATTACTGTGTGTATATTACACTCACACTAGAAGCAAAGCCTCCATTCACGAATAATAAACGGTCAACCTCTGCTGCTTTATTCTTCAACGGCCCGCTTACCACACCTCAAGACAAGCGTGTCCTATAGGAGAACCCATTACTCGTGTGTGATCTGAACTCCTGTGAACTCCTGAAACGCCTCCATTGGAGTCTCGAGTTCCTCCCGGGAACGAACACGTCACAATATTCCTCATTATAATAATTCATGCGCAGAATAAAGGGGCGGGGCCTGGTTGAGTTGTTAAACTGATTATGGAAAGGGGCGGGACCAATCACAGCACACTGATCCAGCCGACCAATCAGAGCACAGTGTGCTTTTCAGGAGGAGGGGCTTCACAGAGACAGGAAGTGAACAGAGCGTTACTGACAGACTGGGAAGAGAGGAGCCGCAACAATGGAGAATAATCAACATTCCTGTTTTAGTAGAGCCTGAACACATCAGAGTAAGTCCTCTTTAAACCAGGACAAGTTTAGATTAGTGCAGTACTAAATACTTATCAGTGTTGGGTGTAACTAATTACTAAGTAATTAGTTACTGTAATTTAATTACATTTCCATTGAAAATGTAAAGTAAGGGATTACTCTTCATTTATCTGTAATTTAATTACAGTTACTTCTGATGTAATTGAGGTAAATACTGTGTATAGATCAATCCGATCTCACAGCGGATGCATTTTATGAGGTGTCTAAATATTACGACCGCACTCGTACAAATTCATATGAATTATTGTAAAATATGTATGAAAAAAGTGTGAAATGTCATGAGATCAGACATAAAACAATAATGGGTTTAACATCAAAATGTATTGTCTGATGCTAAAAAGTGTGTTTTTATAATGTAACCTTCTCCACCTTGGTCAGTTTAAGGATAATTCATGCAATTTTATAGTATTTATTTGAAAGAATTAAAACAGATTCATGTCTATCCTTGTATTATTCAGCTGGTTGAGATTGATATGGGATTTTGAAAGTAATTAAAAGTAATTAAATACTTTTTAGAGAGAGTAATTAGTACAGTGATCTAATTACACTGTTGAGGTAATTCGTAACTAGTAATTAATTACTTTTTTAGAGTAACTTACCCAACACTGATACTTATGCATCTCGTCCCAAACTTCTGGAGGCTCAAGTCATTGATATGTTATTACAGAGAGAAGTTGCTGTGTGTGTGTGTGTGTGTGTGTGCATTCCACTGATAATAAAAGGTCGACCGACCTGGAATGACTTCATACCTGTGTGTTCCTATTAACTGGAAAACAATTCCACACAGTACTCATGACAGCATGTGTTGTGTGATTCATTATACGATGTGAGCTTTAAAACGCCCAGCTCATAGTCTCACACCGATGGGATCGGGCATTGTCTGGGCGCCCCGCCTCCTCCAGTGTTGTCGGCAGTGGTGGAATGTAACGAAGTACAAATACTTTTGTTACTTTACTTAAGCACATTTTTCACGCATCTTTACTTTACTTAAGTAGAATAAATAGTGCATACTTTTTACTTTTACTTCGTTACATTTTGCAGCAATTATTATACGTTCTAGTAGTGTTGGGCGATATGCTCCATTTTCATATCGTCCTATCGTCAGCCTGTGAGATCGGCGATACACGATATTATCGTGAGGGGGCGGGGCTGACATTTGATTATTAACTTGATTATTTAGCCTACTCATTAATTTGCTTGTTTTATTAGCCTACTTCGTTTTATATACGAGAATCTTTTTTCTATTTTGCTAGCAAAGGTGGAGTGTTTATTAATAGGATCAGGTTATTTCCTGGTATAGTGAGGTAAAAAAAAGAGATCCTAATACTTTTGTTTGTCAACGGGAAATTTACGGACACATTAGCCTATCCTCATGCCGTTACATGCAGCATTTTGACTAGGGTCTATTTCTGCACGAGATGAAAACACGTTTTAATAATTTCTTGGGTCAGAAAGAGTCGGAGTTTGCGATATGTGTCCCCCTACCAGTGCGCTCTCTGCGCACTTCACATGCGCACTTCAGTAAGCTCGAAGTACGCGGGTTAATGCGTTTTAAATGCCGGGAGAAACAAGAGCAAGGGCCAAACGTCTAGCTGAGTCGATCGGTTTATACTTATACTTATGACTTGACTCTGATAAAGGAAACGTTTACATGACCACATGCATTGTCAAGTTTATTCAACATAATCAGGTTAAGAAAGTCGTCGCATGTAAACGCGCTCAATCTCTGAAAGTGAAAGTAAAAACGGACTGCTTTCGGCATCTGCATTAACGCCGCGTTCACTCAGAGACGACGATGATAACGGTAACTATAATACTATTTTAGTGATATTATTATTAATACTATTTAGTAATTGTATTGTTTTTAGTGTTGGTGTCATTAAACGTTTTGTTAATGTGTTACGGAAACAAATACTGACGAACAACGATGCCGTTTTCATCTTGGATCTGTAGGAAATTGAATTTTGCGTCTGTTAAAACGAGCACACTTGATAATTTGTGAATGGATCGCCTTGCAATTGAATTTTGATGTGGGATGTTTTTTAGTCTGTTTTAAAAACATTCTCTTAGAGGAGTCCTCATTAGTGTGTTGATGCAATTGTTATGAGGTGATGTCGTTGTAAATTTAGGCAAGGCAAATTGATTGTAGTTCCTAATATTCATTTAATAACAATACTAGCTTTATAATAATAATAATAATAGGCCTAATAATAATAATTTAATACATTATGGTAAAACGAGCCAATTATCGTATTGATATCGTCAAAGGCATCTGCCATCGGCGATATGTCAGACTATCGTCGATACACGATACTATCGTCTATCGGCACAACCCTACGTTCTAGTCAGTGTTGGGTGTAACTAATTACTAAGTAATTAGTTACTGTAATTTAATTACTTTTCCCTTGAAAAAGTAAAGTAAGGGATTACTCTTCATTTATCTGTAATTTAATTACAGTTACTTCTGATGTAATTGAGGTAAATACTGTGTATAGATCAATCCGATCTCACAGCGTACATTCGTATGCATTTTATGAGGTGCCTAAATTGTATGACCGCACTCGTACAAATTCGTATGAATTAGTCGTCTTGTAAAATATGTATGAAAAAAGTGAGAAATGTAATGAGATCAGACATAAAACAATAGTAGGTTCAACATCAAAATGTATCGTCTGATGCTAAAAAGTATGTTTTTATTATGTAACCTTCACCTTGGTCAGTTTAAGGATAATTCATGCAATTTTATAGTATTTATTTGAAAGAATTAAAACAGATTCATGTCTATCCTTAAATTATTCAGCTGGTTGAGATTGATATGGGATTTTGAAAGTAATTAGTAATTAAATACTTTTTAGAGAGAGTAATTAGTACAGTAATCTAATTACACTGTTGAAGAGGTAATTAGTAACTAGTAATTAATTACTTTTTTAGAGTAACTTACCCAACACTGGTTCTAGTCCACTACATTTCTACAACTTCTGTTACATTTTCATTACATTTTCTGATCAGTTTTTCCCCGGCCAAAACATAATCTGACCGTCCGTTGCTATAGATAGCATTTCAAACCGGTCACACTAAATGCGTCTTAGTTTATTGTGCAATTTATACGCGAAAATTAGTTTTTACGTGCATAGGAAACACACCGTGTGTAATATGCGATTGGTTAGGATTATGGCAAGCCACGAGGTTCAGAATTACACCATAAATTAATCGCTTTTATTGCCAAACATAGTTATGAACATATAGTAAGGATAAGCATGATGTGTATATTGCCTAATTGCAAGCTTGTTTCAGAAATGGTGACAACATTTTTTTTTCCATCATTATAGGAGTATTAGGTTAAATGAGTTAGAATTAAATGTTTTATTAATCATTAGAAAATAGACATTAAGAAAATAAGTTATGCAAGTACTTTTACTTTTAATAAAGTACATTTAAAATCAGGTACTTTTTACTTAAATATGGTTGTCATTGTGTTACTTCTATTTTTACTAAAGTAAATATTTATCTGGTTATTTGACATTCAGCAGTTCCTCCACCACTGGTTGTCGGACGAGCTTCACTGATGTCATGAATGTGGAGTATGTGTGGTAAAGGTGACGCTCACCTGAGCAGGTGCTGGAGAACTGAAACACTTCTGCTGTCCATGAGAGGAGAGACGTCACGGCAAGAGTACGCCTCACTCGCGTGTGTCCTCAGCAAACTGTGAAGACAAACACAATCATGAGCAATAAACCCCTGACACCATCCGGACGTTACCCAATATATGAATATAGATTACAAGTGAGAAGACAGACTTACAGCATATGAACTGACTGACACGACCATCCATTACACACAGATGTTGTCCAATCAGCATTAGGGTTGGGTATCGAGAATCGAGTATCGATTGGAACCGGGACTAACTTTTCGTTTTTCCCGGAATCGTTCAAAAGTTAAAATTTTGATTCCTAGTTTCGATATTCACAGTCCGCCGAGCGGAAGAAGAAACCGCTGAACAACACCAACGAAGAAGCGTCTACCGGAAGTGTTGGCATAACCACGCGAGTCGAACATGAGTACCTTGCGTCGGCGATCCAAAGTGTGGCTTCACTTTTCTAAAAATAACGAAATCTCGGCAAAATGCTAAATTTGTGACAAAAGGAGTATTTTTACAAAAGGAGTATTTTTACAGAAGGAGTATTTCCTTCAGAAAGGCCGTTGGTTAGCAAGGTTAGCTAAACTTTTTTGCCTCTTAAAAGAATCGGAATCGAGAATCGTTAGGAACCGGAATCGAAACAAGGACTCGGAATCGGAATCAGAATCGTTCAAATTCAAACGATACCCAACCCTAATCCGCATCACTGACTCCAGACGAGTATTAAATGTATTTTAAAGTGTCTCTATTATGCTTTTTGGTAAATTCCCTTTCATGTAGTTTAATACAACTGTTCGTGAATGTAAAAGGTCTGCTTATTATATTTTTATAAATCGTTGCAGATGAATTGAGTTTTTGTCTTCTTGATAGAAGGAACGAATCTGAACACAGCCTGAAACAAAGTAATTGCAGAGCCCGTCTAACGGAGAGCCTCGGCACTTCCTATTAGCCCCGTTGTGGATCATCTTGGTCGCAGTTCCATTATAATTCCACTGGGGGTGATCATGAGCGAGACCAGAATGAATGGGAGTCTATGGGGCTAAACGGCTAAAAGTGTCTCTTTCACCTGCTTGTCGTTAAATTAACATAGATTTTATTGTTGATTCCGCAAGTTCAATATAGATTATAGGCCAAAAGTCGAATGAACGAATACTTATGTCCTTTTGATTTCCTACAGGTTAGGCTGTTGTTGGCCGGATCACGCTAGCATTCTGCTATTGTGTGACGTCATCACATTTTTAAAACAGATAAGTGAACTTAAAAATGCAATTTTCATCTGAGTGTATTATCTTAGCCCTCCCTTTTGAATGCAACTTTCAAATTACTTGACAAAAAATTACATCCTGAGAAAAGTGGATTTATGGGGGTGAAACCCCATTGACTCCCATTCATTCTGCACTCGACCGCGAGCGCCCCCGCATGGACAGAGACGGGTTACTGCAGCCAGTCCAGAACCCGGAAGTAACCAGCCAGTGCCAATTCTCTTCAATTAGACATTCTCTGGTAATTCCAGTCCTACGTAGGTTTGCAAGTACTTTGCATAATGCCAGCCTCTTGATTGGCTGAACAGCGTCTGCTCTGCCCCTCAAACACTGCAGTGAATCTGAGACTGGAAGAGCTTGGATCAAAGCAAATCCACTTTGATGAGATTCATATGACAAAACCCACGCCATCTGACCAATCAGAGTAGACCAATCACAACAGACTGGGCCATCTGACCAATCAGAGCAGAGCAGACCAATCACAACAGACTGGGCCATCTGACCAATCAGAGCAGAGCAGACCAATCACAACAGACTGATCTACTCCGCACTGATTGGTCAGATGGCTCAATCACAACAGACAGGGCCATCCTTGTATACTATTAGGTTAGTCTGTGTGTGTGTGTGTGTGTGTGTGTGGGTGTACCTGCAGAGCCGGGCGTGTGTGTACTGCAGAAACACACCCGTGTCTCCTCGAGACTGTAGGACTTTGTCCCACTCGAATTTATAGTCTGACATCAGAGGCCCTTTAAAGTCCTGACAAACACAAGAGATAAACACACACACACACACCGATAGCATGAGGCTACACAAAAATTACACACACACAGCCTGAATATCACGACACTCAATATGACATTATACCTCATCACATAATAAATCACACATTTCAGAAGTGTAATGCAGTCAGTCAGGTTTGTGCCATACAGGAACCGGTCTGGTACTTGACTGAGAGTGTGTGTGTGTGTGTGTGTGTGTACCTGTATGATTAAAGCGCTGACCCCGATCCTCTCGGCTGTCAGTTCCGGCTCCTCCAGCACTTTTGAAGCTACGCACACACAGAGAGAGCCCCAGTTAACCAAAACCAGTTCATCATACCATGTCAACACACTAGAAATCTGGTCTTTCTGCTCGATCACAAAATACAGTAAAGCCCCTCGGCCACTCCTCCTCGAACCCCGAAACTGAGTGTGCCTGTCCACATCAGACCACTTCATGACTCGAACACTCCTTGATTTAGGTACGATTATTGTTGTGTGTTCCTGTATTGGTCGTTTTATTTTAATCTGTCCTGTACAGGACTTTGGACAGCTTTGGTTGTTTTTAAACATTGTATTGTATGAACTTTATTGATCCACTTTAAATGTTGAGTGCTGTATATATAGTTACTGTATAACCAGTTCTCAGTGCTGTGAGTGTTTCTAGCATATTTCAACAAGGCAACATTGATGGCTTATTTGACATATTTCTCAATCTATCGCGAAAAAAAAAAGTGTTATATGTTTTATTTTGCTATTGGTAATGACTACGCTTATATTATTTGTTGTATTATTGTATACCCCTTAAATGTGCAAAGGCTCCATTCAAAATCATAAATTGATTCACAGTGTCTCCCACAGCCGTCGTGGGACTGTTGAAGAGTGTGTGTGTGTGTGTGTAGGAGGAGTGTGTTCTCACTTCTGGACTGCCTCATGTTGTTGATCATGCGGCTCCGCGCCTCCTCCAGCACGTCCTCCAGGAACACCACCTCCCCGCGGCGCGTGCTCATGCCCTGCACCAGCCCGAACGCCACATGACGACACCTGCCGCACACACACACACACACATACTCAGAAGTCCCTTTAAGGCATGTCATTTCTCTTGGCGGCCATCTTTGAAACACCTATAGCAACCGGAGCTGCAGTGATGCGATGACTTTACCAATCAGCGATTGGATCTTTTATTTAGGAGGCGGGGCTTACTCAGCCATATTGAGCATTTATAAGTAATATGAGTGCACGGTCTTTGTATTTCTGAAGATATTTAGGCTATGCTTGATATTGAGCTGCCAGAGGAGGCGACACTGAAACCACCCGCGGTGTGAAACGCGCTTTACATAGAAACTTGACAAGCCTGAGCATGTCTAATAAGCACAAACCGTGTCAAAAACAATTTGATGTGCAAGTAAAAAGTAGGCCATCTGTCCTACAGCGTTTCTCTACTTTAGTACAGTAAAGAATGTGAATATGATAGGGTTAAATTAAAAGCAAACCCAAGGAAGAAACGTTCATAATCCACTGCGTAAATGTGAGTGTAAGATTTAGGATAACTGATGGGATATTGTTAAATTTACTCATGGCCAGATCCAAACCACAATTCAAAGCCGACAAAGCTTAAATGATGAACTCATTTTGTCATGAATCCAGACGTTTCCAGATACACTCCCGCCTGTCCTCTCTGGCTCATAAACACTACACACTTATGATACACACTTCCCCTGCTTCAGTTGATCTCCATTGGATAAATGATTTGTCTGTTAAATGATTAAATGTAAATGTTGGTAACTTGTGATATTCTAAATTAATTTTTGATATTTAGATGAACACAGGTTAATAAATGATTAAAAACATACTCGCTCTTTGTTATTCTTTTAACTGACATTGACAAATGAAACCTTAGAAAGGATCTAAGGATCTGTTTCAGTAGCAACCATGTGAAAGAGTGTAAATATATTGATCTTTATTGTCAGATCTAAAAGCTGGTAACCAGAGTGTTTCTTGTTCTTTTAAAAAGCAAATGAAAGTGGCAGTGAAGACATCCGACACACATAATACTGGTGTTTAGTTAGTAGGTGTGTCAAACGAGAGAATTCCTACTTTCCAGCCGTTAGGTTTGGTGAAAGTATATTTGAGAAGGTGTGTCTCCATCCTGAAGGGAAGTTGTCCACTGTATATCTGTGTTCATCATGCAGTAAGTAAAGACACCACGGGTGAATAAGACAAACACTTTAACTAACAGATATCATCATACTTACCCTGGACACTGATTACATTAAGAGTTGCTAACATTTTTTTGTATATGTATAATTATGCAAATGAGGTATGATCTAATAAAATATGCTTTAATTGGTATACATTTACAAAGAAATGTAAAAGAAATCTGAACATTGGATAAACCAATGATTTTGCTTACATATTAGAGTTAAAGTTTTTTACAGAGGGGATTTTTATGGAGTCAAATCCATTCCACATATTTGCAACACAATAAAATATTGCAAAAGAAAAATAAAGTATAGAGAGAAAAAAATGTATTTTTGCAAACAAAAATAAACCAGCACAAAATTAAAATAAAAAAAAGTCAGAAGGCAGAGTCAAGGAACTGAGGCGGAGTCAAGGAATGGAGGCGGAGTTAAGGCACGGGGCGGAGTCAAGGAACTGAGGAGGAGTCATGGAACTGGGGCGGAGTCAAGGAATGGGGGCAGAGTCAAGGAACTGGAGCATAGTCAAGGAATGGAGGCGGAGTTAAGGCACGGGGTGGAGTCAAGGAACTGAGGCGGAGTCATGGAACTGGGGCGGAGTCAAGGAACTTGGGCAGAGTAAAGGTACTGGGGCGGAGTCAAGGAACTGGGGCGTGTTCAGCGGGCCTGGCCACGTGTGTATGTGTGTGTCCCTCTAGTGAGTGTGTGTGTGTACCTCTCTGCCCACTGGTGTCCCATAGCTGCCAGGATGTGAAAGAGCTGCTGGAAGTGGACGGTCTGACTCTTATCAGTCTGAAAGAGGGAACGAGGACTGAGCAGAAGCAGATGATGAAGGAGTCACATGACTCAGCAGATTCATGATCGTTCTTACCACATAGATCATCTCATCAAAGCCAAACCTCTGCTTCCTGTCCAGCGCTGCTGCCACGTCTCTGAAAGCACACAGAAGGGAGATCCGTCACGAGACGCTGCGTTAAACTTAACACACGCATGTGTGTGTGTGTGTGTGTGTGTGTGCGAGACACACCTGGTGAGGTACAGGGACGTCCCATCACTGCGCACTAATGTGGCGTAAGACGACATGTCGCCCGTCCCAGACAGATCCACCACACCCGTGCCCTTCCTGTGCAACAACCAATCACAGTCATCGCACACAATCACACACATTTAATAAACAGTTCCACTACATATTTGGTTTACATCATTTGCATATTAATTATTCTGTGTATACTAAATGAGTGTAGAGTTAAGAGTCCAACTATTTTAAAGCATGAAGAAATTATTTTCAGTTTAATTTTAAACTTTAAATGTGTCATTTCCATAATAAAGATTTGTATGCAGAGGGACTTTAAATACAGATTTATACACTCACCTAAAGGATTATTAGGAACACACACTAATACTGTGTTTGACCCCCTTTCACCTTAATTCTCCGTGGCATTGATTCATCAAGGTGCTGAAAGCATTCTTTAGAGATGTTGGCCCATATTGATAGGATCGCATCTTGCAGTTGATGGAGATTTGTGGGATGAAGCTCCCGTTCCACCACATCCCAAAGATGCTCTATTGGGTTGAGATCTGGTGACTGTGTCGGCCATATTGGTACAGTCAACTCATTGTCATGTTCAAGAAACCATTTGAAATGATTCATGGTGCATTATCCTGCTGGAAGTAGCCATCAGAGGATGGGGACATGGTGGCCATAAAGGGATGGACATGGTCAGAAACAATGCTCAGGTAGGCCGTGGCATTTAAACGATGCCCAATTGGCACTAAGGGGCCTAAAGTGTGCCAAGAAAACACACCATTACACCACCACCACCAGCCTGCACAGTGGGAACAAGGCATGATGGATCCATGATCTCATTCTGTTTACGCCAAATTCTGACTCTACCAACAGAAATCGAGACTCATCAGACCAGGTGACATTTCTCCAGTCTTCAACTGTCCAGTTTCGGTGAGCTCTTGCTTTCTCCTATCTGTAGTGGAGATGAGTGGTACCCGGTGGGGTCTTCTGCTGTTGTAGCCCATCCGCCTCAAGGTTGTGTGTGTTGTCTGCATACCTCGGTTGTAACGAGTGGTTATTTCAGTCAAAGTTGCTCTTCTATCAGCTTGAATCAGTCGGCCCATTCTCCTCTGACCTCTCGCATCAACAAGGCGTTTTCGCCCATTTTCACTGGATGTTTTTCCCTTTTCACTCCATTCTTTGTAAACCCTAGAAATGGTTGTGTGTGAAAATCCCAGTAACTGAGCAGATTGTGAAATACTCAGACACCAACAACCATGCCACGCTCAAAACTGCTGAAATCCCCTTTCTTTCCCATTCTGACATTCAGTTTGGAGTTCAGGAGATTGTCTTGACCAGGACCACACCCCTAAATGCATTGAAGACACTGCCATGTGATTGGCTGATTAGAGAATTGAATTAATAAGAAACTGAACAGGTGTTCCTAATATCCTTTAGGTGAGTGTATATTATTCATCAGTAAATCCAATTAGTTTCAATCTCATATATTTTATCTAACTGAATATCGCCTGTTTCAAAGTCATACTTTTTAACTGAATTAATGCAATTGCTTCACAATGAAAATATGTATGCTTATTCTAAGCATTTTGAATAAATACATTTTGAAAATATGATGTCATAAAAAATAATGAAAATATGAATCAGATGCAAATAGTTAATAATAAACTCTGCAATGATTTTTTCGAGTGAAGAAATCCGACCTTAATTTAATGTGCATTAAATTGAGTTTATTGGTTTATGTTGATGGATGCATGCGACTGAAACCCAGATGCTGAAAGTGATCAGGAGAGCATGTGTGGTGTTCAGAAGGAGCTGTACTCTGAGGTCTTCAGCAGGCGTTTGGCCGTCAGCTCTTCCAGCACACTCTGAGTCTGAGCGTCATGAAGAGACTCTCCAGAGTAATGGTCAAAGTCAACTCCTAAACGCTGAGAGAGGACACACACCCTCAGTTTAACTATGGCTGCCAAAAAAAACATTGAATTTATTTTCATTAACATATGTATTTAAACATACATTAAATAATTAACATGTTTATTATCCAACAACAAATGAGAGTAGAAACAATTATATCCCTGAAGATGTGTTTCTGGATCATAGAAAGCCTAAATGGAAATGCTTGATAAGTGAAACAGAACATTTATTTCAAGTAACTAAAATGTGTTTTTGTGGTTTTAGTTTTGGTTATCTCTAAACACACGTTATGATGAAGTTACCTGATAGATGCGTTTGTACTCGTGCACAGTGATCTCCCGAAACTGCTTCCACAGGGCCAGAGCCTGATCCTCCCGCTGCACCAGACGCCTGTAAAACCCAGCGGCCGCCGTACGCACGCTCTCGTCACACTCGGCCTCGCGGTTCACCTGCACGTACACCTGCAGCAACGGGAGAACACACGCGAGTCTTCCAGCACGTCCCGCCAGGACCAGGGCACATAACACACACACACGCCTCTGACCTCAAACAGATGTTCCAGCGGCTGCGTCTTCAGCTTCTCCTGACAGCCGAAGCGCTCAAAGCCTGCGCCCAACAGACCTGCACACACACCATCAGCACCACACTCAATAACACCAGCTCTGTGTGCTGTGATTGCTCTACTCTGCTCTGATTGGTCAGATGGCCCAGTCTGTTGTGATTGCTCTACTCTGCTCTGATTGGTCAGATGGCCCAGTCTGTTGTGATTGCTCTACTCTGCTCTGATTGGTCAGATGGCCCAGTCTGTTGTGATTGCTCTACTCTGCTCTGATTGGTCAGATGGCCCAGTCTGTGTGATTGGTCTACTCTGCTCTGATTGGTCAGATGACCCAGTCTGTGTGATTGGTCTACTCTGCTCTGATTGGTCAGATGGCCCAGTCTGTGTGATTGGTCTACTCTGCTCTGATTGGTCAGATGGCCCAGTCTGTGTGATTGGTCTACTCTGCTCTGATTGGTCAGATGGCCCAGTCTCTGTGATTGGTCTACTCTGCTCTGATTGGTCAGATGGCCCAGTCTGTTGTGATTGGTCTACTCTGCTCTGATTGGTCAGATGGTCCAGTCTGTTGTGATTGGTCTACTTTGCTCTGATTGGTCTACACTGCTCTGATTGGTCAGATGGCCCAGTCTGTTGTTGATTGGTTACTCTGCTCTGATTGGTCAGATGGCCCAGTCTGTTGTGATTGGTCTACTCTGCTCTGATTGGTCACATGGCCCAGTCTGTTGTGATTGGTCTACTCTGCTCTGATTGGTCAGATGGCCCAGTCTGTTGTGATTGGTCTACTCTGCTCTGATTGGTCAGATGGCTCAGTCTGTTGTGATTGGTCTACTCTGCTCTGATTGGTCAGATGGCCCAGTCTGTGTGATTGGTCTACTCTGCTCTGATTGGTCAGATGGCCCAGTCTGTGTGATTGGTCTACTCTGCTCTGATTGGTCAGATGGCCCAGTCTGTGTGATTGGTCTACTCTGCTCTGATTGGTCAGATGGCCCAGTTCTGTTGTGATTGGTCTACTCTGCTCTGAATTGGTCAGATGGTCCAGTCTGTTGTGATTGGTCTACTCTGCTCTGATTGGTCAGATGGCCCAGTCTGTTGTGATTGGTCTACTCTGCTCTGATTGGTCAGATGGTCCAGTCTGTTGTGATTGGTCTACTTTGCTCTGATTGGTCTACACTGCTCTGATTGGTCAGATGGCCCAGTCTGTTGTGATTGGTCTACTCTGCTCTGATTGGTCAGATGGCCCAGTCTGTTGTGATTGGTCTACTCTGCTCTGATTGGTCACATGGCCCAGTCTGTTGTGATTGGTCTACTCTGCTCTGATTGGTCAGATGGCTCAGTCTGTTGTGATTGGTCTATTCTGCTCTGATTGGTCAGATGACCCAGTCTGTGTGATTGGTCTACTCTGCTCTGATTGGTCAGATGGCCCAGTCTGTTGTGATTGGTCTACTCTGCTCTGATTGGTCAGATGGCCCAGTCTGTTGTGATTGGTCTACTCTGCTCTGATTGGTCAGATGACCCATCTGTTGTGATTGGTCTACTCTGCTCTGATTGGTCAGATGACCCAGTCTGTGTGATTGGTCTACTCTGCTCTGATTGGTCAGATGGCCCAGTCTGTTGTGATTGGTCTACTCTGCTCTGATTGGTCACATGGCCCAGTCTGTTGTGATTGGTCTACTCTGCTCTGATTGGTCACATGGCCCAGTCTGTTGTGATTGGTCTACTGTGCTCTGATTGGTCAGATGACCCAGTCTGTTGTGATTGCTCTACTCTGCTCTGATTGGTCAGATGGCCCAGTCTGTTGTGATTGGTCTACTCTGCTCTGATTGGTCAGATGACCCAGTCTGTTGTGATTGGTCTACTCTGCTCTGATTGGTCAGATGGCCCAGTCTGTTGTGATTGGTCTACTCTGCTCTGATTGGTCACATGGCCCAGTCTGTTGTGATTGGTCTACTCTGCTCTGATTGGTCACATGGCCCAGTCTGTTGTGATTGGTCTACTCTGCTCTGATTGGTCAGATGACCTTTTACATTCACAAACAGCAATATTACACATCACATGAAAGCTCAGAACCCAAAAAGCACTATTTTCTAAACTTCCTGACTTCTCTAGGTTAATAATGTCAACTCACCAAACTGCATTCCCCAGTCACCCAAATAATTGACTCGAATAACCTCTTTCCCCAAGGCCTTCTTTAGGTTGGCAATGAAGTTTCCTACAAAAAAAGCGAATCATTTAAAGTTTTGTTCTATTAAAACCATCGTGTATCTTTTATACAAGCACTCCATCTACTGGTGACAGAGGGAACTATTCAACAGAGTAACGACCTCACCAATTATAGTGGAGCGAAGATGTCCGGCATGAAATTTCTTAGCGATGTTTGGAGAACTGTAAGCAAAGAGAGTTGAGTGAGCCACATGCTAAATCAGCTCACGGCTCCTGTGTTAACCAACCTGAACTCCACCAGCGTCCTGCCGCCCTGAAGATGCTGCAGAAGTTCACTCTTCACGCCGAACCCGTCAGGCTCCGACTGCAGCTGCTCTAAGAGTTTCTGTGCAATAAAAAAAGAATAAATGTCAATGCAATCTTCTTACGATTGCAAGAAATTCACAATCAGAAATGTAAGAAAATGTTGCTAAAATACCTGTGGTGAGTAAAGCAAGCTTCCATAATAATATGCATTCAGAAAATAGATGGGATGAATTTTCATTTCATTCTGACTTTAAAGGCTATTATTATTATTAAGCCATATCCATTCCAATTTTGTGCTCATACAAAATATTGTTTAATTTAATTCTGTTTTGTAAATCAATTACAGTGTTTTTCTTGGGAATGACATATAAAATGACAATTATAACAGAATAGGCCCATATGATTCAGCCTAATGCTGTAAAACCAGTGTTGGGTAAGTTACTCTAAAAAAGTAATTAATTACTAGTTACTAATTACCTCTTCAACAGTGTAATTAGATTACTGTACTAATTACTCTCTCTAAAAAGTATTTAATTACTTTTAATTATTAATTACTTTCAAAATCCCATATCAATCTCAACCAGCTGAATAATACAAGGATAGACATGAATCTGTTTTAATTCTTTCAAATAAATACTATAAAATTGCATGAATTATCCTTAAACTGACCAAGGTGGAGAAGGTTACATTATAAAAACATACTTTTTAGCATCAGACAATACATTTTGATGTTAAACCCACTATTCAGTGACATTTCACACTTTTTTCATACATATTTGACAATAATTCATACGAATTTGTACGAGTGCCATTAGACACCTCATAAAACGCATATACGAATCGCTGTGAGATCGGATTGATCTATACACAGTATTTACCTCAATTACATCAGAAGTAACTGTAATTTAATTACAGATAAATGAAGAGTAATCCCTTACTTTACATTTTCAAGGGAAAAGTAATTAAATTACAGTAACTAATTACTTAGTAATTAGTTACACCCAACACTGTGTAAAACTAAACATTTATAATATAATATAATGAATATAATATGATAATACAGTCTGATCAAACCATTGTATAACGGAAGACCTTTGACTACATTTATGTACTTTTTATATTCTTTGACAAAATATGATGAAATTTAACCTGCACAATTATTTCTGTGATTAGAACGAATATCAGATTAATCAATAACAGCGACAGGGACTCACTTTAAGCTGACAAAAACTGATCAGTGAAAATGTTGAACATTATGCACATTCAGTGGAGAGTTGTGTGTATGATTGTTGAGCATCAGTTCACCTGCGCCAGGATCAGTTTGTTCAATCTGAAGTGAATCTCTCCTTGAGCAGCGACGACGTCCTCCACGACAGAGTCCCGTCTGATCTAGAGCAGAACACAAAACAAAGCCATGGAAATCAGAGGCACACACATGCATATGATCTCCGCACTGTTCCCAGGTCTGCAGACGAATGGCTCTGGAAGGTCTGCTCACCTGATTGGCCAGCGCTTGTGTTTTGGTGTGCAGGTCTCCATCCGGAACAGCAGCTCCGCTCCGCAGCAGACAGCCGACAGACACACGCAGATCAGCGGACGGCCTGACGTCACAAACATCGCTGGAGTCAACTTCAAAATATCCCACATCGTTGTTTTACCTTTTCTTTATTTATATATTTTTTCATAAATGGCGTTTGACTTTGCCTTTGCACTTCGGCTTCATTAACACTGGGTCGGTTCTTCCGCCTACGTCACGCTTGACCTTTCAGCCTTTCATCGCAGAGCTAGTGTAAGATGAGCATTTGTGGTTAAAAAGAATATAAATATAGATTTTTTGACAGATGGTTTGTCTAGATCAGACTCTTAGACTTTGAAGCTGCGACCTGGACCTTCGACCCTACATGGAGAAATCCTGGAGTGTGTTCCTCAAAACATTCATTTATTTTCCACTCAAGAAAGAAAGACATGAACATCTTGGATGATGTGGGAGTGAATAAATTATAAGGAAATATTAATTCTGAAGTGAACTAATCTTTTAAGCTGTTATGATATTACACACATATGATGTCATCATCACATGCTGCTGTATGTCAGTGTAGAGGACCCAACGGAGAATATCCATCAAGTGAAGAAACCCTACAAACTCTGCATTTCAGCTGAAGTAAGAGAGGTTCTTTAGATTTTTTACATAAAATAATGTACCCTCTAGATATCTGTAAATGGGAAAAGTATGGTCCTTTTGTAATAATATTGAGGATGGACTCTGTTTTCTAATTGTCAAAAAGTTCAGATATTTTGAATGTGAATTATCTGTGATTATGATCATAAAGACAAAAGTACTGTTTTGAAAACTTTCTAATTCTGGCAATAACGGGATTAGTAAAAAGGCAAATTCTTTATTCATAAACGCACAATGTGGAAAACTCATTTCTAAAAGACGAACTTGCTGTTAAAGTCATTTAAAAATGTGTGAAAATGTAAAAGGTATATTAATAAGCATATATAAAATATTATAAATCTGCATGGCGTCTTGTGAAGTCTGTTTTCTTTGGATCTACTGATTTTGGCCTGTTTTTAACTTTTGGCGGGGTGTATGGGTTTAAAGGGATACTCCACTTTTTTGGGAAATAGGCTCATTTTACAACTCCCCCAGAGTTAAACATTTGATTTTTACCGTTGACAAAACAATTGACCTTATGCACAGATGCACTACTTCCTGAACTTCAGCCAGCTCCTTGTTTCCTGTCAGTCATTATTGGACAAACTGATTAATCCAGGTGTGATTGACCTCAGTAGTCACGGCAACAATAATCAGGCACACCTGAATTAATCAAGTTCGGCCAATAATGGCAGACAGGAAACAAGGAGCTTAAGTTCAGGAAGTAGTGCCGCTTCGCATAAGGTCAATTCAGAGTATTTTCGGATATTTAGAATAATATCAGTAACCAGACAGTTTCTGGTCCCATTGACTGCCATAGTATATTTTTTCCTACTATGGAAGCCATTGAGACCAGAAACTGTCTGGTTACTTATATTCTTCTAAATATCCGAAAATACTCTGAATTGTTTCGTCAACGGTAAAACTCAAATGTTTAACTCTATAAAAATGAGCCTATTTACAAAAAAAGGTGGAGTATCCCTTTAAGGGTGTTTGGACGTTGGCTCTTACTGTTTCTTTGACACTGGCACTGCACAGATCAAGGGTATTAAAGCATCTTCAGACACTCCGCACACCTTCGCGAGCTGCAAAACAAGTATAGCGATCAGATCTGACATAAGGTTGTGTTAATGTCACAGTGCGTCAGACGCGCGCGTGGTGTACCTGCAGCGCGACGCTCCGCCTGAAGAAGCACGCCATGTGCGCGCGCGGAGTTCAGCAGATATTCACATGAAACTACATCAGGAATGAGCATGAAGTGTCACTGACCAGTCTCCGTACTGGAGGACAAGAGTGTGAGCAGCATCCTGTAGTCAGCTACTGTCATTTCTGTGCGTGTTTTCAAAATAAAAGTCATCAGGCTCCTCCGCATAGACATATACACTAGACGTCACCTTGGCTATGGCAGTTCATTGGAACGAATCATAGACATATACACTAGACCTCACCTTGGATACGGCAGTTCATTGGAACGAATCATAGACATATACACTAGACGTCACCTTGGATACGGCAGTTCATTGGAACGAATGCGTCAATAGAGCCGCCATCTTGAAACAGGGGAGCCCCTCCACTTTAATGCATCAGCGTCAATGTAGTAGACACAGGTCTAACGCAAATAAAATCACCATAAATCATCATGAATGCGATTTTTCTTTTTTTTTTTTTTGGTTTGTTCCAACGGTCAGACATGTATTTATCATTGATTCCAGAAAGAAAAAAATAAATATTTTTTTTTTTTTTTTGTAAAAAAAACATGCTTCCTAGTTCAGATTTCATCCGTGAACTTCATACGCTGCACAAAAGTCCGCCACCATCAATGAATTCGAAGTAAAGGCAGAGATAGCAGCGTTACCTAGCTACTTCCTATGACAAGACCCCTGTTCCAAGATGGCGGCGGTTTTGACGCATGCTTAGAACCCCCAGGTGAGGTCTAGTGTATATGTCTATGGGAACGAATGCGTCAATAGAGCCGCCATCTTGAAACGGGGAGACCCTCCACTTTAATGCATCAGCGTCAATGTAGTAGACACAGGTCTAACGGAAATAAAATCACCATAAATCATCATGAATGCGATTTTTCTTGTTTTTTTGGTATGTTTCAACGGTCAGACATGTATTTATCATTGATTCCAGAAAGAAACTTTTTTTTTTTTCAAAAACACTCTTCCTAGTGTAACGGTTTGTATATAGTTAAATTCCTGCTTAAATGGGGTCACTTGGTATTGCGCCACGGTGTTAAAAATAGCGAATTCTGGGTAATCCACAGCAGAATTTCTGGTAACTGCTGTGGTAAGTCGCATGTTAAACGCTGCAGAGACAAAAATAGCCTAAGTGCCTTAAATATCACTACACAATGTTTATTTCACTGTATTTTTGTAATAATGTAATTAAGAGATGTATGCTGTTTGTCTGATGTTGAGTGAGTCACTAGTTTAGAGTTTAATGTTATATGTAGCACATGTTGCATGGCTGCCGCTAATGATATTCCTCCATCTGATTTACTGTGTGTTGTGTAGGGCTGTGTTTTATTCTCTGTTTGCGATGTCATGCCACTCCTGATTCGTTTTGGTTTCCCCTTGTGCAGGTAATACTGAATTTGATGTTTATTTTTGTTATGTGGAAAATGTACGTTATAACAGCAATATTCCTGTTGAAAAGAATTTGCTGTTTTATAAACTGTTTCATATGGCAGAAATACTTAAGTCAGAGATTTTATTTATTTTATTTTATTTATTTCACATTTTTCTGTGGGAAAGACAACGAATTGTGAAACATTTCATTCAAACATTCCACTATACGATCACACTGGAATCAGTTAATAAAAAAGAGCAGAATTTCTGGTAACTGCTGTGGGCTGTGTTTTATTCTCTGTTTGCGATGTCATGCCACTCCTGATTCGTTTTGGTTTCCCCTTGTGCAGATGTTCCATATACACAACAAGAGTAATAAATAGAGGACCGTCACATTGGTGCCGTGACTGTGAGTGAGTGGACGTCTGCCTGCCATTGACGGACCGCTGTAGCTGTGGCCTTGTTCGGACATCGTGGACTGTAGTTTCCTGAAGAGGACATCTTTCTGTTATCCTTTGCACATTGAAAAAGGACTCTACATGATCTGATAATTTTTTTTAAATACTTTGATTATTTTGGGTCAGTTTTCTTTTGTTAGTTGATCTGTTTTGGGGTTGTTTTTTTTTCTCTTTCCCTGATATTATTGTTTTGAAGTATAGTCACAATGAGCGAAACAGGACTTGATTCGCCAGTTCATACTCCAGCTTCTGTTGGTAGGGGGAGAGGTGTACTGCAGATACCTGCTTCCTTTCTTGGTAGTCCTGTTGTTGGCAGTAATGTTGCATTAGGAGTGAATAGAGTTGACTTTTCAATGGGACCCCCTGACATTACTGATATGCGCAACCCACACAGGCAACCAGTCACTAGCTCGACACCACACACTGAACATGTTGCCTCTGATTTGTTAGATCAAGTAGGCTCAATTGCTCTAATGATTGGAGAACAGATAGCCGACAGTATTATATCTCGTCTCAACCCACCGAGTTTGGAGTCAGACACACAGAGCAACCCACATACTGGCAGAACCACTCTGACTCGACCTTCCAACAATTCAGATATATCCCAGGCTCACTTAGTCACACACAGGACCGTCAAAGAGCCTCCTTCCTTCAGAGGGGATGGATCTGACTCAGTTGACATAGAGGAGTGGGAAGACCTGATGAGGGCTTTTGTTAAGAAGGGAAATATGAATACTGCCGAACATGTTGAGGAGATACTTGTTCATCTGCGGGGCAGAGCAAAGGATGTAGTAAAATTTTGGATTAGGAACAGCGAATCTGACACCCAGACCAGCCCCAATGCCATCTACAGTCTCCTCCGTAAGCATTTCAGTTGCAGTCAGTACTCACAAGTTCCCCTCTCTGACTTTTACACCACTTTGCCTAATGAGAATGAAGAGCCTTACGATTACTGGTTGAGGTTAAACAAAGCAGCAGATGTAGCCTCTGAATGCCTGAAGGAGCAAGGCAAATCATTTGATAATCCAGGTACAGAGATTGCCCACATGTTTATCCGCCATTGTCCCAGTAAAGATTTGACTCTGACCTTTCGATCCAAGTCCATTGACAAATGGTCCGCCCATGAAGTGCAAGCTGTGTTAAATGCCCATAAATCAGAGTCCAGCTCCAAGCCTGTTAGCACGACATGTTATGGAAGGCCTGATAAAACAAATGTTTGCAAAGTTGATGTTAATGCAGCTTCTGTCGCTTGCAAGGATTCTGGATCACAGCAGTGTGGATCTACAGAGCATGCTAATCTAGAGAGAGTGATCGACATGCTAGAGAAAGTTTTAATGCGCAATTCCTTCACACGACAGCCTAGCTCAGGTCGACGCTATGGCAGACTCCCAAGGATTGATGGTTTAGACGTCTTACCTTGTGCTATCTGTAACGATGGAGCTCACTCTGCTCTAGTCCACTGCCGTGAGCATCGCTTGTGTTTTCAGTGCCTGTCACCTGGCCATGCCCGACGCAACTGCCCTGTGCCACGGGCTACTCTACCCCCGTCCAGTCAGGGAAACTAACAGATCTGCGTGAGGGGGAGGGCAGCGTAGATCTAATTAGTCAGCCTCCTATCTGTGATACTGAGGATTGTGAGTCTGTATATGAGGTACAGAAAAGCATTGCCCCTTCTGAAAAGACTGTTATTTTTCAATGCTTGCAGCACGTTCCCATGACTGATAGTCTGTTCTATACCCCTGTGTCTGTCGAGAATGGTCCAACACTGAAAGCACTGATTGACAGCGGCTCTATGGCATGCACTATAAGCGAAACAGTAGAAGCTAACTTGTTGAAAGCCAATCCTAACCTGATAAAGACTCCAGCGGATAATGTCGTCGTTGTTGGATGTGGAGGTCATAGAGTTAACCCCACAGGGATATATGATGTCACAGTCTCCGTTTATGGATGTAAAATGATGCTCTCTGTTCTGGTTGTGACAGGTCAGACAGAAGAACTCATTATTGGCAGCAATGCTATCAAACCGCTGTTGACTCTACTGAGGTCCACTGGCAGCTACTGGAAGTTGATGAACATGCCAAGCGGAGATGGGATGGATGAATCCTTCCAGTTTTTGTCTTTACTTTCCAACACAGAGAGGTGGAAAGGAGATATTGTGCCAGACAAAGTGGGAACAGCCAAACTCAAAGGCAGTGTAACATTACAGCCGCGGAGTGAATATCTAGTTTGGGGTAAACTCCCTAGCAAGGCCATGGTATCAGTAGGTAGTACTGTAGTCATAGAGCCCACCCAATCTAATTCCAGGCCTAAACAGATCTTGGTCGGCAGAGTAATCACACCACTATTTGGTGATGGCTTTGTCCCAGTTAAACTAGTTAACCCCACTGATCGCCCTGTTACACTGAGAAGGAATGCAAAAATTGCTGATGTGTCCCCATGCATTGCAGTAGAAGATTTCACAGAGGTCGAAAGTGTCCAGTGTAACATCCAGTCAAGTGCCCAGTCTTGTCACATCTCCGAACAACCACTACTGTCGGAAGAGGAGTTGACCAACATTCTAAGGGACTTGGGATTGAACGATTTAGACCTAAGTGCATGTGAAGTCTCTCTGGAGTGGAAGAACAAACTCCTTAGCATCATCACAGCTCATGAGTCTATATTCTCAAGGAATAAGATGGATTGTGGTCTGGCCAAAGATTTCGTGCACAGGATCCGTCTGGTTGACGACAAGCCGTTTCGTCTACCTTACCGTAGGATACCACCAAGTCACTATGAGAAGCTGCGGACAGCACTGAATGAAATGGAGGAGTGTGGCATAATAAGAAAGTCTAACAGTGAGTACGCATCACCCTTAGTAATTGTGTGGAAGAAAAATGGCGACCCCAGGATCTGTAATGATTTCAGATGGCTTAACGCCAGGACAGTAAAAGATGCTCATCCTCTCCCGCACCAGTCGGACGCACTCGCTGCTCTAGGTGGAAATGCCTTTTTCTCCACTATGGATCTAACATCCGGTTTTTATAATGTGCCATTACACGAGGAAGACAAAAAGTATACAGCATTCTCATCACCATTCGGACTCCACGAATACAATCGCATGCCTCAAGGCCTTACAAACAGTCCCGCTACATTTATGCGTATGATGATGACGATTTTCGGTGACAAGAACTTTACTAGTCTGTTGTGTTACCTTGATGATCTTTTGGTCTTTGCTCCAACAGAACAGGTTGCACTCGACCGATTGGAGATGGTGTTTTCTAGATTGAAGACTCACAATTTGAAGCT